TAGCATTAAACTAAATTCTGACAAATACAACAAAGAGGAAAATATGAGTACACACGTTGCAGAGAAGCTGTTGTTTAGGAAATCTCCAAACAAAACTAGTTACCCTTGAATAGACAAGGGATCTTGTAGCAAACTTGAGTAACACATCCACAAATCTAAACAAGTGAAGAATTTTCTTTGCAGGGTTAGTAAAATAGAATGGTAAAACTAAATACCTCAACAAATGAAGTGCCTCCAGGATCTCTCATATCACAGATCCAGAAATACATATGGCTGCTAGGGAGACTATCATCATTTACTCTCAAATTTCCCAATGCTGCGTTTATACAAAAAGAGGATGGGAACACCTTCGAACAGAAGAAAACTTTTAACATTTCGAGAAAATGTAATTTTGTTTCACAAAAACAAAAATGCAGAGGCTGAGGCAAGAAAAGGGAAGGAATTAAAAATAAAAACTATTTTTTTTTTTATGAGGGAAAGGGCAAAGAGATAAACAGCTAAGGCAGACCTTTACATCCGTAAGCAGATTTTGTTGCGACAAAGTAGGGAGCTTAGTTTCAATTAATTCATCAACAAAACTTAAGCATGAGCCATACTTTGTTTTATATTGAATATAATTCTGGATTTCCCTTTTTCTAACAGACCTTTGACCACAGGCTCCTCAATGCTGTTTGATTTTGATTGTTAGCAGGATCTTCACTAGAAAATCATGTTTCACACCAACAGAAGAAGAAATATCACTGAAAGATTCACAGCTTTCATTGTCAATAGTAACAGCATTAGCAAATTCCATAATGGCAAGGATTGTTGGCCTACAACAGAAAAATGACAATATATCCAGAGTCACTGTGACCTGAAAATAGCAATTTTATTACTTCAATAAAATATAAAAGAAGATAAGATGATGAAGAATCATGACCAGCAAATAACAATCACAATTTCAAAAGTACTATATTGATCATCTCAATAATACCATTTCAGACTTCAACCGATGCATCCTCTCTAACAGCTTCATTTCCATTTCCTATCACCAACAAAAATTAAATTGATAAATAAATAAATTCAATATTCAAACACATCTAATATGGTTAACACACATACTGCTCACCTGGTCTTACCCACACTCAGCTTTTCTTAGCTTCACGGAAAGCATCCTCATCATTGTGCCAGGATCCGCAGATGTTGCATGCTCAACAGTAGAAATAAATATCTTCTGAGTGTCAAAAAATACAATAAAATGAAAGAAATAAAATTGAAAGGAAATAAGCTGAGAACGTTACTGAGATTATTGAATTAAGTAATTTGTTATCAAGAGTTCAAGACCAATGACACAAATAAGTATAACAGACAAAGGAAGAAAAATGGTAACTCAGCTATAGGGTACCACAGACCTGGAACCTGCTAGCTTGACGAGGAAAATTAAGTTGTTTTTCCTTACTGTTACACCAACTCTAAGGACAATATATACAATCCAATAAGCATGAAACCATATAATAAGCTTTAATTTAATATTAACATGGGACAATAACTATTTTGTCAATTCTTGTCAATTAGAAAAGCTTACCCAATTATTAATTATCATTACCACAAATTAGACCAACCCGTTAAAAGACTACAATATATCATAATGAAATAAGGAAAACTGGTTTTGTTTATATCGACGCTTACAAATTCTAAATGCAAAAAGTAAAGAATGGAACATACATAAAGGTGGCCATGTGTAAATGCAGGCTTTTGGCAAGAACAAACCAACAACATCTAGTGTTTAGCCTTGAAAACAATAAGGGAATCTAGTCCTACAAACAGTTAGTTATAGCAAATATCACATCTTGAAAATTAGTTAATAGAAATCTTAAAGCTAAAATCACAATAAGAAAAATCGCAAAATTACATGATTTAACACATGCAACAGGATACCAAGGCACATAATCTAGCATTCATAACCATTGTGGTCTATATGAAGCAAAAGAAGAATTAAAGTTCAAATCAATAAAAATTAAGCGATAAAAAGGGGATATACCCAGTTTTATTCAAGGATTGCTGAAAATTGCATCTTCAAGTAAGTGTAAGGACAGGTTATAAACAATACTACAATTTCACGAATGAAAGTTAAAGAGTCCTGACCAAAATTTGAAACAATATGCACATGAAAAAAGAAAATTATTCAATGATTTCAATTAAAAGAAGAAACTTGTTACCTAATCTCAGAATGTTTGTCGAATCCCTATATGTGAGTAAACCCTAAACCCTAAATGTTTGTTGAATTCTTCAGTGACCTTGTCCACAACAGATGGATCTGCATATATAACAAATCCAAAATCACTAGACTGATCCACGTATTAATCGTTCATAATTACAGAATAGATTATCTCCCCATACCTTCCAAAGTGCTTATTAAACTGAGCTGAAGATCCATCAATTCAATAGCATCAGAAGGAAAATAATGAATTTAGCAAATGAACTGTCTCCAGGAATGCAATGCATACATGCAAGCCATTTTAATCGTTTGGTTTCTGTAGTTTGCATTACATAAAAAGAATCCCATTGTAGCAGCATGACTTCATCACTTGCATTAAAGATTAATAATTTTCAGAAACCAAAACCATCAACCAAAACCATTAATCACTAATCTTATCAAAGCACTAATGAAATGGGTTCATCATTAACGGTTTCAGAAACAAAATTATCATCAAACCACTAATCTTAGTAATAGTTATTATCTCCTCTTGTGCTTCTTATAAAAGACAGGATGTAAATTAACAAAAAGATAAAAAGAGAGAGGGTATTTTCTTTAGTAGTGGCTATCAATTTTTCCTGCCAAAAAAATACACAAAAAAAAATTAGAAAAGAAATCTAATTATGCTAAGAAGAAACAATCCCTAAACATTTTTATAGGTAGTTATCCCAACCAAACTTCAGAAAATTTCCTAAATAAACAAAACCCATAAAAAATAGACTTGAGAGGGAAAAACAGACCTTGAGAGGGAGGCTCATGAAATCTCAGAAGGATTGGATTGCATCTCCTTAACCTCTTGTAAGATCCTATTCACCGCCGGATTCTTGAAGTTGTACTTGTCTTCAGCCATTGGATCACGATCTCGTCGAATATCGAACCGCTACGACTACCGCCGCTACATCCGCTACGAAAATCTTCCCATCTACGTATTTTCGAATGTTAAACAAATCAGACACAAAAACGGGAGCAAGAAAAAGGAATTTAGTAAAAAAAAAAAGAACCCCAAAATTTAAGAATTTTTTACAGTATAAAATAACTAAACCGCTAAAAATTCAGACCCAAAAACAAGAAAAAAGACATGATTCAAACCCTAAAAAAAGAGGAAATTGGAAAACTTTTGAACCTGACATTCGACTTCAAGATTGATGTAAGCCGTTTGATCAGCGGGCTTTTGTGGTCACTCCTGACATCTTCTTCGTCTACTTCTGGGCTTTTTCCTCCCTAATTAATATGGAAAAGGAAAGAAAAAAAAAATAGAGAGGCGGAGGACGCCGATTTTCTCTCTCGATCTCTCTCTTTGGATATGCATTTTTTTCATGCTTTTCTTTTTTCTTTCAAGATACAGAGAAGAGTAATTAAAATCATAACGGCTATTTTTGTTTTAGTTGGATTTATTTAGATTTTTTACCCGAATTTGGGTTATTTGACTTAGTCAATAAAAATATAGCGTGACTTTTAAGCAAAGTGTTTTGATTGGTTGAATACAAGTTACCATGCAAAATTTACGGCGATTTCAACTGATTTTTTATTCTTTTCCGCTTTTATTTCCTATTATCACATTGAATAATTTTCATAATTTCTTTTTGACCGTTAATTCATTTTTTCTTTAAAATGAGAAATTGGGCATGCAGTCCATGTGTAGACGAGGGCCAAAAACAAGAAAAAAAAATTTGACCATACAACGATGGGATTGAATATAATATGAATATAAAATATAAAAATAATATAATTTAAAATTTTAATAATTATTATATTTAAATTTAATAAAATTATTAATATATATTTTATATTTTTATATGAATATAAATTATAATATATAATTTTTATATAAAACATAATATGATTACACAGATACATTAACTGTAATTGAACTCGTGGACTTATAAATTCTAAAGATAGTGTAACTCGTATCTCACTGAAATCCATGGCCTGGTTTGGTCCATATAAATCCAGGCGTCGGATAGAATCCAGACATAAAACTTGGACACTGAAATCCATGGCCTGGTTTGGTCCATATATAAATCCATGTGTCAGATAGAATCCAGACATAAAACTTGGACAGTGAAGTCCAAATTCAATTATTCCCCCACCTATCTGACTTGTACAGGCTTCTTCCTTCGGCTGCTGCATCTGCATGTTTCATTTCAAATTCAAGAATCACAAAATGCTAATTGAATATACAGCGTTGAGCTGCTTTTAGGCTGATACCACATGCCTAACTGCCTTTTTTTTTTTTTTTGTTTCTTTATTTACTCTATTATTGATTCCCACCATCAATCAAATAGAAAAATAAATAAATAAATAACACAACTTTATAAATTTAATGTGATGTAATTCCAAATAAATGTTTATCTCTATTTTTTTTTCTTAAAATAACTTTCACTATATTTTAATTAAAAATAAGATAATACCATTTGAGTTTTTTTTTAAAAAAAATTTGTGGTGTAAATAAATTATTTAATTTCTTATATTAAAGTAAAATATAATTTATCTGATAATTTTAAAAATAAGATAATATTATTTGAGAGTTTTTGTTTAATTCAAGTTAAATAGATTATTTAATTTTTTAAGTTAAGATAAAATATATTATATTTAATAATTTAAAATAAATAATTACAAATCATACATTCGAGATAATTTTAATAAATGATAATTAATAAAATTCAAACTTAAAATTTTTTGATAAAAAAAAACGAACTTAACCGATTCAATCGACCATATGTTAGTTAATTTTCGTTACTATATTTTTTGGACTATTCTCTAATATAAATGTAGTCTGTTCTGTAGCTGTACTCAGAAAAACACCCAAATTCTTAGATTCCTTCAGTCAAAACCCTAATCTTCCCAAATTTTCATTAACACTCTCTACCCAGATCAACCACCCCTGGTAAAGTATTCGAAATTCTGGTTTCTTTGTCTTTGTTGGTTATATTTGCATGGAATTGTACCTGGAATTCAACTCAATTGTTCTTTTACAGAAATAAATTAATTTTATGAAAGTTTGAATTTTCTTGGGTCCATAGTAGAATTCAGTTTTTGGGTGTTCCTTTCTTGGGTTTTAATGAGATTCAACGAAATGAATGTATAACTTCTAAAGGATGGGACTTGAAAAGAACTTAACATGAGATCTACTTCAAAAAAAAAAAAAAAGATAAGAAAATTCTTTTCTTTAAGCTGTTAAGCATTAAGAAAGGAAATGTCTCACACTGATATATGTAGTTTTCTTTGTGGTTAAATTTTGAATGATGTATGGGAAACCCCATAATCAATTTTAGTTATGTTATTAGCTAATCTTTTAAATTTATGATTGGTTTTTTTTTTTTTTTTTGCAAGAAAATTGTGGAACTAATTGATGCAAAGTGAGTAGTATGAAAATATGATTGCCGTACTATATATTTGCTGGTAGCTTATGATTTTTCCAGTGTTAGATGAGAATTGTCTAGCTTATTGTTTTCAGGGCTGGGGAGTGAAACAGAGAATTCATTCATTTCAGGTGTTATCTATGAGGTGAGACAAGTTGAATGATGGCGGACTTACCAGGTTATATGCGCAACTGCTCGCACACTGGAAAACTTGCAGTTTTGGCAATATTAGTTTCAGGAGGAATTGTATTGCAAATCTTGGTTAGTAATGAATTTCTCTGTTAATTAATTACCTTTGCATTGTTTTTCCCTAAGTTTTCGTACCATTTCTTCGCTCTGATTCCTTGTGCATGATGTGTTAGGCATGTGCTCTGTACAATAATTGGTGGCCAATGCTGACTGGTAAGCAGATGTGAAGGTTGTGATCTTGGTTTTCTGTTCCTGACAATTGAGCTACTTATTCTCAAATGAATTTTGTTAGTTTCTTTCCAAGTTTAAGATTTAAAATTTCAGTTTTGTAACTCATTCAAGGCTGTCTATTACTGATTGAGTTGTTAATGGTACATGTCCTTGTACATCTACCTCAAAAGCTGATGCTTATAATTCAGTTCGTTGTTCCTATGATTTCAAGAAGACAATTGCTCTTGAATCTACAAAGTTATGTATCATAGGATTCAATTGAAGTGAGCATGTAGGGACATGCATTACGCATGTTAAAATCTCTTGCCAGTTTGCTGCTTAAATGCACATTAGAGGCAATGTCTGAGTAAGTGTGAAGTTTGTGACTGCATGTGCGAGTGTGTGTATAAGCAAGGAGGGCTTGAGATCTTCATGTCACTTCTTTTGTTTGATTAAGATAGAACCTCCAAGCGGTTGATCATGTTACTTCGTTAAAGCATTAGAACCTCCAAGTAGTTGATCATATTACTTCATTTAAGCATGCTGACATGGGTCATTGCTGTTGCAGTAATAATGTATGTCCTTCTTCCAATGCCTTTGATGCTCTTTGCTGGCTCTGATGGTTCTTCTCTTTTATCTGAATCAGACAATAGGTAAAATTTTTTTGCCTTAAACTTGTTCATATACAAGATCTGATCCTCGTTTTCAGTTTAAACTTGAGAATTAGAATACTCTTTATTTTCTTGCCAATGAACAGTTGGGTCAATGCAACCAAATTCTTGACTGGAGCTTCTGCGGTTGGAAGCATAGCTATACCAGCTATCCTAAAGCATGCTGGAGTTATTGGTTGGGGCGCCCTGGCCATGGAACTTTCATCATATTTCATATTTGTTCTAGCCATAATGTGTTGTATTCGAATGAATGATGATGATGATTACAGTTTCCTCTGAAAGATGACTGATTATCAAAGTTAGTTCAGATTAGGCTAAATATTTCCTGTTTTGATGAGCCTCATTTCCATGTTTGTTCATGCCGATTGATCAGTTGATTTTTTCTTTTCCTTTGTAATGAGTGCCATTATTGTGTTCAAAAATTTGCTCTAACATTTGAGAGATTGATCTTGATTTAACATTTATAAAGTGATGGGTGGAATAAAGAATCTGCAGGCATGCTTGTTTTCTTGAGAAAACCTACTTTGCATTCCCATAATTGTCTTAAACAGTGATCAAAAGTCATCTTTAAAAAAAAAACAATAACCTGATTCAACTGGCTAGTACCTTGCAATTAAAACTATACCATTTCCTTATCATTTGCTTCATATATATTGCTCATTGTCAGAGTCTGTGGAATACATTCAATGAAGTTTGTTTGTTCAAGTAAGATGCAATGGCGTGCCTGTGAAACCAATACTCAAGAAACAAATGAATATGATGAATTTGAAGAGCCATTTAATATAGCAGAGAGAATGTGGCGGCCCTCGTATTTTACATGGGGGACTTGAATCTTCTGAAATGTATGATTAAAATGTTTTTAATTTAAAAAAAAAAAACGAAGTAAATGATGGCATAACCATACTTTTCTTAACCACAAAACAAGTTATAACCTTGGTTTAGCTTTGAATTGACCAACAGCTTCCATGATTAAAAGCCAAAAATCGTTTTTGTTACGAGGCTCTATTTGACATTGTGTTTACAATCAAAAGCCTTTTTCAAGTTAAAAAAGTTACATGAAGCTTAACAGATAAAGATTTTGGCTTATGTGCAGTAAAAGATAACAATCAAACGCAAAACCAGGACAAGACCTTCCTCTCTGGTGAGAAAAGTATGACATTGTGCCACAGTAACACTTCAATCACCAAAATGCCAAGGGCTCACCTAACCATAATTTTTCATACAAATTTTGACCAAAAATTTCAACTATACATAAGACTTAGCAGAATGAGATAAGCTAATGATTTTGATCAGTGCATTGAAAATTACCGATTGAAATAACTTAATGAGAATACATAATAATTTGGGCATTTTTCTACCCTAAATTAACTTAAATTCTTAAAATAAAAATAAAACAATCAAAATTCATAAGAAAAATGTACTTCTTATTAACCGAAAAACAATAGTCTATAAAAACAAGTCTATTTTAAGGTTCGACTTTCTTATAATCAAATTTTTTTTTACCGAATTACAACAGATTTTTCATTGTCAAAAGACGATGCGAAACTGAGGAGCGTCGGATCCATTCGCGGGCAGAATTTCCCAGCGGCAAGGCTCGAGCTCGTCGGACACGGGGCAGAATCCGGCTAACGTAACCTTATCTGTAGTAGCAGCTACAGACCCGAATTCGAACACCGTAACACTCTCGGGTCTGGGCACTTCAACGGCGCCGTTCATTCCCGGAACGGGTTTCGGAGTCTCGTTGGACTTGGGTATGGTTTGGGTTTGAGGTTTGGAGTCACCTCTGAACCAAGAGAGAAGACCCATGGTTGATTGTGCGAGTTCTTCGGGGGCTTGTAGGGTTTTTGGAGAAAGGTAACTAGAGAGGATGACCTCGTGTTTATGAAATTTCAGATGGTGTTAGAACAGAACGCTGCGTTTTGGCAAGAAGGTCAGCTTTTTGGGTATACCAGGCCACCTGGACCCAAGAAAATGTAGTGCAGCCCACTCAAACATTGAGTTTAATTTTAGTACACAAATGACCAGAACATTCAAGCAAAATCTCCAACATTCGTGAATAAGTCAAAAGTTTTCTTGAGGCTCGAGACACATGTACGAGAAAGAACTAGATTCCTCTTCAGCTTCTTATATATACCCAACATTTCCTACCTTAACGACATCAAGAACAAAGCAACAGATTTTGAGAGATCTTGCCAGCAAATAAAGAGCTTGCCATTTCATCCAGTTCTACATCAAAGTCCTTAGATTTCATTAGAAAAAAGAAAAAATGGCGATGATCCCAAGTTTCTTTGGCAACCGAAGGAGCAGCATCTTCGATCCGTTCTCTCTTGACTTATTGGATCCTTTTAACGACCTTCCTTTCTCTTCTTCACTTAGCACACGTATACCCGAAACTCGTGCTTTTATTAACACCAGAATCGACTGGAAGGAAACCCCGGAAGCTCACGTCTTTAAGGCTGACCTTCCCGGTCTCAAGAAAGAAGAAGTGAAAGTGGAGATTGAAGACGACAGGGTGCTTCAAATCAGTGGAGAGAGGAACGTTGAGAAGGAAGACAAGAACAACACTTGGCATCGGGTTGAACGTAGCAGTGGGAAGTTCATGAGGAGGTTCAGGTTGCCTGAGAATGTGAAGATGGATCAGATAAAAGCTTCCATGGAAAATGGGGTTCTTACTGTTACTGTTCCCAAGGAGGAAGTGAAGAAGCCTGATGTCAAAGCCATTGAGATTTCTGGTTGAAAACTTGAAAGGCTTGAAACGTTTTTATATGCATCATCTTTGGATGCAATTATATATTATTACTACTATATCATATACACATCGTTGTAAAATCAATATTGTAATATACTAATGTCAAGTTTCTTTATTTTAATGTAATTCTCTATATTTTGCATTTGCTGATTTGCAGAAAGCTTCACGAGGGTGCTAGAATTGAACTTTATAGAGCAAGAAAAAGTTCATTAACAAGATCAAAATTTTATGAGTTTATACATGCAAGTATAGACAAAATAATATAAGCAAAATTCTACGTTGAATTATAACTACAAACATTCGACTCAAGCTTATTAACTGCAAATCACAACACAATCAATAGATTAAAGAGTTTACCCAGAATTATAAAATTAAATTATCAGTAGCCAAATCTCTAACAAGTAACAACCAATAAAACCATTGATGAACTTGAATAGCATATAATTTTTATTAATATAAAACAATGTCAATAAAACTAAAAGAGAGTAATCTCATTGCCATGTCTCAATTAAATTTCGCCATTGTGAAAGGTTAAGCCTCTAATAACAAACAAATCTATCAATGAACTCAAATTCATATCAAATACATGCAGGAAAATGGATCCTCTCAAAACAGGAATTCAATTGGAGAACATCAGTTACCTCTACCTTCAAATCAAAATTTCCTAAAAGACAAGAACCTTTAATTCCCTTCATTGCTAGCTTTTGAGCTCCTAAAATCTCTTTTCAGCTCAGCAACTCTCTTCATACAAGCTGCCTTTGATTTCCCAGAGACAGCAGCAGCAATCTTCTCCCATCTCATTGGCACATCCTTCGGAAACGCTTTCAAAGCATTAAGCAAAGCAATGTCTTCCCCTGAACTCCAGCCTATTACTTCAGCATTATTGTCAACATTGCCATTTCCTTGATTTTCCATTATCACACCTTCGTTTCCACCACTAATTCTCATATCCATTGGCTTCCTATTCTTCAAAAACTTCGCATATGAATCAGCATCATCCACTTTCTTCTCTCCAAGTTCTTTTGCTTTCTTTATCACACTCTCCATTTTATGTTTCCCCTTGAAGGCTGCAGCTATAGCCTCCCATCTACCCGGCTTCCCAACTGGATTCTTCACCATTTGTTTCTTCAAAATCTCCAGATCTGCCCCACTCCACTCCTTTTCCTCCCCATCAAAACCACGCCCAATATCTTCTTTTTTCACCGCTAAACTCGATAACCCATTTGAATTTTTACTTTTCACCTCTAAATTCGAAAACCCATTTGCATTTTCCACTAAAGAACCACGATTTCCACTCAATTCGTCTATTTTATCAGGCTTTGACCGCCTCTGGGAAGATTTTTTCTTGGACTCAGGCTCAGGTGGGGGTTCTTGATCGACGGGATCAGGGATGATTGGTCCATGACCAACACGAATATCACCGCCGGTGAGCAAAGGAGGAGCAAAAGGGCCGAGAAGGAAGGACGAAGAGAGCCAAAAGAGGAGGGATTTGAAGGGCTCATTCTGGAGTGAGAAGAGGGAAAGAGAAAGAAAAAGGGAAGATATTGAAAGGGAAATGAAAAGTAAGGTTTTGGCAGGTTTTTGTGGGGTTTTTTCTTGGGATGAAGAGGAGGGTTGAGGGCGTGACTGGAAGAGAAATCTGGGTCTCGCGTCCTCGTCCAAGAACTCCATATTCTAGTGTATTTTCACAGGCTAAAATGGGAATGGCGATGGCTAAATCAGAAAACCGGCGACAACTCTGACTTTGTCAATTTATATTTTCCTTTTCTTAATTAACATTATTATTTTTTATTTTTAACCTACCTTAAATCCTTAACTAATTAGATATATATAACTGAGAGTGATATTATGCATTTAAAATTTTTTAAATTTGTAAATTTAAATATCAATTTTAATTGTAATGATACATCAATGAATTTAAAAATATATTAATTAATTAACATTAATTAAATAATTATTAATACTTTAATCGTGTTATACCGGTCAAACGAAAATCCTTAACAAATAAAATTAATTTAGAAATAATGAGATGATAAAATTACTCAAAATTTATTCATAAGCATAGGAAAATACTTAAAATTTTAAATTAAAAACCAATCAATGCTTTTTCCTTTAAATGGGATTCCACATCATTTGAAAGTTTTTGAGGGTGAAATGAGAAGTCTGAGATTTGTAGTTAAGAATTAACTTATGTTATAAGTAAACCTTTAATCTCACAAATATCTTCATATTTAATCATATTACGTACAAAATTTAATAAACTTTCTTACGCGTATGCATAATAAAAGTAATATTATTGTATAACCTTTTTTACAACTATTATCATATCATTTATTTTTATATTTTTTTTCCAAATTTAAGATGTATGTTAAACAAGCAATATACAACAACTCTTAATTGATGTTAAACATTATTTTTTTTTAAATTATAATCTTAAAATAAAATAAGAGATTACATATCAAATAATAAATATTAGAATACAAGGCATATAATAGGAAAAGTGGTAATTGGATGGTGGCATTAAGCTTTATTCATCGAAGGAATCCAAAAGTGGTAATTGGATTCCAGTTTATTTCGAGTACAAAATAGTTAAGCTTCCATGAAAGGAGGATTTTCCTGCTCTTCCTTGAGGCCGCTTTATGTTTCAACCGACCCTGCAAAAGGATACCACCATGAAAAAACTTGAACCAATCAAACTTAAAAGTGGTAATAATTTGGCTCGAATAGAATTTGATTCGATTTTTTTATAATATATAATATTATAAAATTTTAAAATTTAATTTAAATTTGAATAATATTTTTTATAATTAATTTGATGTAAATAAAATTTAATCGATTCGATTTAATTTAATTCATTAATTTTTAAATTTTAATTTTTTATATATTATTTTAATAAAATTTTGATATATTTAAATAGATTTTTATATATAACAATTATTTTTATTTCATAAAAAATTAAAATATATATAATTGATAAAAATATAAATTTTGTTTTGATTTTTTTTTTTATTTTTTACGTTTTCATTCAAAATTTAATTCGAATTTAATATATACATTTAATATCTTATTTTAATCTGAATCAAATAAAAAAATAATTCAAATCAAATTAAATATTATAATTTTAAATCAATTTTTAATTTTTTCTATTTTTTTTCTGGCCTTTAACTAAAATGTTACTTACCAAAACGACAAGAAAAGCAAAATTTTTTGATGGATTACGTAATTGGAACAATCCACGGTTGGTGAAACGGTGACAGGCAAATTGATTCCACAATTAGAAGGAAGAGCCTGGGCTAACTGGGATTTTGGGTTTATGTTCTTAGCTACTGATTTAATGCATTCACAAGCAGCTTTCTTGTCAGCGGAGGATGACGCGGCGGAGGCTCCAGCACAACAAGCGGCGGGTGGTTTCCCAGTTCCATTCACAAGGTAATTCACACAAGGTCTCAAGTCCTTGATTACATCACTGCACGAAATCGCTGCATTTGAAGCTGAAGCAAGCAAGAGAAGAAGCATAACAGCAACCAGAGCAAGGATTCTGATTCTCGAAGCCATCATTCTCCAAAAGAACAAGAGAAACCTTAATTTGAGGTGGTCAGAACTGGTTCTTGTCTGCTTTTATAGGAAGATCGAAAGGCTCATTAGTCCAAGAAAAGAGTGAATATTTTAAACTAGAACAAATACGGGATTAGTGATTTTCTTGTTTCTTACACCCAAGCTAGGTGTGATTGATGAATTATTTTGGAATAAACCAAAGAAGGTTCGCCATGTCAATTTGTGCATCCTATACGAAATGATTCCAGCATTAAGAAATCACTAATTATATGAATCTTGAAAGAGAACTTTTTTTTTTATGAGATTTTGTGGTATTTAATAATCATTTTGAACTTTAATTAATTTAAAATCGAATGGGATCGAATTTTATAAAAAAAACAAATTCCCTTAAATTTTTTTTTCATTCATAAAATTCGAAATCGAAATTTTACTTAAAGGAAATTAAATTTTTTATCACTCGAATCAACATACGTTGATAATTTTAAAATATATATATTATTTAATTAAATTTAGAGTTTAATTTAATTTATTTATATAATATTATTAAAAAATAACATTCAATAAATTTAATTTAAATCAAAACCCATACAATCTTTTCTTTTCTCTTTAAATTACATTTTTCTATTTGCACCTAACAAATGTCCTCCAACTAATTGCGGAGTGAAATGGTTCTAATACTCCATGAAAGCTTCCTTTAAATTGCTATTAAGGTAAAGTAACGGGTTTGGTTCAGAATTAGAGCTAGTGGAATTTATACAATCAAATACGGCAAGATTACTTCCTTTAGAAGAGTCCAGCATATTGAAAATCTATTGCTAATGTCTTGCCATGAATGGACATCTGAACCCAACTAAATATTAATATGTATAAAACTAGAACTATAGAACTTTACTTTGGTTTGCTTGGTAAAGCTAATTACCATTTCCATTAAGTTTCTTAATTTGCTCGTTTAAATTGGATTTAAATAAATCAGTCAAACATAATGTTAATGCTACTTAACAATATAAATCCAATATATTTGCTTAAAAATTCTACCTGAATACTTTGTTCTATTAAAGATTCAGATTCACTAACATTTTTAATAAATTTAAAATTTACGTTTCAACGTGCACAATTTTTAATATTTTTTAATCTCTAATACTTTTATTACTATCAGTTATATTTAGAGTATTTATATGGGATGAAATTCTACTAATAAAATCTATCTATTAAAAGTTTTTCAATTTAATTATTTTGTCAGTATAATTAAATTAGTTTAACATAGAATGCAAAATATTGACCAATTATATTTATAGTTTTAAATTGTCATTTTTGTTCATTAACGACTCCTTTGCAAAGTAACGGCTAATGCGCTCGCTCTCTTCTTCAAAACCCTTACTTTCTCTTGGTCGATATTATCTCCTCCATGTTCGTTCCTTCGAATCCCAACCCACTTTCTTAAATACCTATTACTCAAAACTCACTTTCAATGACTCCCAACTCATTCATCTCCTGTCCGATCACCGTTTCAGGGAAGCCCGTAACCTGCTCGACAGAATGCCTCAAAGAAGCAACCATGGCCGTGTTATTCACTTAACTTCTCTTATCTCAAAGTTCTCAAGAAATGGTTTTATTAATGAAGCCAAAGCGCTTTTTGAAATCATGCCTGAGAGGAACATTGTCAGTTATAATGCCATGTTGTCGGGTTTTGTGCAGTGTGGGAGGATTAGTGAAGCGAGGAGGTTTTTTGAGGAAATGCCCGAAAGGAATGTGGTTTCGTGGACTTCCATGTTATGTGGGTTGTTGGAAAGTGGTCGAGTTTGTGAGGGAAAGAGATTTTTTGAAGATATGCCTGAAAAGAATGTTGTGTCATGGAATTCTATGATTGGTGGGCTGATTAAGAATGGGGATTTGGAGGAGGCAAGGTTGGTTTTTGATATAATGCCGGTCCGCAACATAATTTCATTGAATACCATGATTTCTGGATATGCTGAGAATTGTAGAATGAAAGAAGCTAGAGTTTTGTTTGAGGAAATGGAGGATAGGAATGTGGTTAGTTGGACTAGTATGATGGCAGGTTATTGCAGAGCTGGTGATGTGAATGAAGGGTATTGTTTGTTTTGTAGAATGCCTGAGAGGAATATTGTTTCTTGGACAGCCATGATTGGAGGGTTTACTTGGAATGGTTTCTATGAAGAAGCGCTATTGCTTTTTCTAGAAATGGCTAACTATGAAATAAGACCAAATAGTGAGACTTTTATATCGCTTGCTTATGCTTGTGCTGGCATGGGATTTCCTTATCTTGGCAAGCAGTTACATGCTCAAGTTATCGTTGCTGGCTTGGAGTATGATGATTATGATGGCAGGTTATCTAGGAGCCTCATTCAGATGTATTCAGTATTTGGTATCATGAACTTTGCATGTTATATATTTAACAAGAACTTGAATAACTCTTCAGTTCAATCTTGTAATTCCATGATCACTGGTTATGTTCGTATTGGACAGTTGGAAAAGGCTCAATATATGTTTGATATATCACCTATTAGAGATAAGATCTCATGGACTTCAATGATTGATGGTTATTTGAGCACTGGACAAGTATCACAGGCTTGTCATCTATTTAACAATATGCCAGAAAAGGATGCAGTTGCATGGACAGCAATGATTTCAGGTTATGTCCAAAATGAACTTTTTATAGAAGCTACCTCTTTATTTTTGGAGATGTGGGCGCAAGGTGTTTTCCCTTTGAATGCCACATATTCTGTTCTTTTTGCGGCTGCTGGAGCAACAGCAAATCTTGATCAGGGGAGACAACTCCATTGCATGCTAGTGAAAACACAATATGAATTTGATTTGATTCTTGAGAATTCTCTTATCACCATGTATGCAAAATGCGGGTTAATAGATAATGCATATAGCATATTCTCAACTATGGTCTTTCGAGATCTGATTTCATGGAATTCAATGATCATGGGATTTTCACATCATGGGCTAGCAAATGAAGCTCTAAAGATTTTTGAAGCCATGTTGAAATCTGGAAGTCACCCAAATTCGGTTACCTTGTTGGGTATCCTATCAGCATGTAGTCATGTAGGCTTTATTAGTAAAGCATTGGGATTTTTTAAATCAATGAGAGATATTTATCGAATTCAACCTGGTTTAGAGCATTATGTTTCTATAGTCAGTCTGTTGGGCAGAGCAGGGAGAGTAGAGGAAGCAGAAGAGTTTGTCATGAGTCTACCTTTTGAACCAGGTTGTGCTATTTGGGGGGCATTACTTGGTGTATGTGGCTTCAGTGAGACAGGTGTTGAGATTGCTAAACATGCTGCCAAGAAACTGCTTGAGCTGGACCCAACGAATGCACCAGCCCATGTGGTTCTCTGCAATATATATGCAGCAAGAGGTCTGCACATGGAAGAGCAAAAGTTAAGAAAAGAAATGGGTTTGAAAGGAGTAAGAAAAGTCCCTGGGTGTAGTTGGATACAGCTGAATGGGAGAGTCCATGAGTTCAAGTCAGGAGATAAACCTCATCCACAAGCAGCTGAAGTTTTATCACTTTTATTTGGGATTTCTGATAAATGACAACAACATACTGCACAAACAGTGATTCTTTTCTTAGTTACTCTGCATTCTGACAGGATATCATCACCCTTCAAAATCATTGTTGATTGGAGTAAGAGTAGGCTGATACAACAAAAGTTTTATTACTGTTTTCATCTAGCACTGTACTTTTATACCTATAGCAAAAGAGTTAAACGATCTGTTATCCTTTTCTTTATTAGCTGTTGAAATTGGGCAAAGGTGAGAGACAAAAAGCAAGATGCCGACTTTGTAAGAATTAGAACTTTAGAAGAACAAACCATTTGCTTGAGCTATGTGAGAAAGATGACATAGGACTCAATGAAAAATGTTGAAGGCAAGATGCGGTGGTCCCATGGCACATATGGTCAAGGTAATTAATTTGACTTGTTTGTCAGTGACCTGAATTACAGATAGTTCAGTGCTTACTTTGGTACATTGCTTTAAAACTATTGCAGAAAATTCATACTTCCGATTTAAAAAACAGTCATCCTTTGATCACTCAGAGATTCTTGTGCCAGTGAACGTGTAACAAGAAAATGATGAACAAACAGAGTTTGCCCGAAGTGGAATGACGTCCAACAGTGCCAGCCACGGAGAGGATTCACTCAAATAGTTAGCTTCTTTCTTTCTTGGACTGCTAGATGATGTACTTATTGCAACAGTTTTCAAAGTAGAATATGGATACAAATATGAGTTTTTATTTATTTATTTTTTTGATAGGAATGTTTTGTACATTTTGGTGTGGCCGTTGGTTTTTCTTCTTCCACCGAAAGTTGTTGCCCTTGTTTCTTCATTATGATCACATATATATGGCTAGCTGTATACATTTATTTATTTCCTGATCAATGGTTCCGCATAGATAATTAATGTGGATGCTAATAACCAGCCTTTTTCATTCGTTAACTAAAATCAACTTAAATGTTTATTTATGGTATTACTTTCTGAACTTCTTTATTTTTTATCACAACAATCTGAGTATTTGCATTCTACCTATATATTTGGAAGCCATACCCTTCCCGCCAAATAACGGAAACCAGAAACAGCAATGACTGTCGGCGTCAACTTACCCAAGCCAGCTTCAGTACGCTTATCCTCACTCACTCTCGACAAATTCCTGAAATCCCAGAAAAACCTCTCTAAACCCCCGCCAAAGCTGTGGCCCAACGAATCCCAACTCCTAATCCCACCGTCAGAAAACAACCAACAATGGCCACCACCCATTTTAACTCTAACCCACCCCATTTTACAAGCCTTAGAATCATGCACCAATTTCAACCAATTCAACCAAATCCACACTCAACTCCTCATCTCTGGCCTCCTCCAACACCCTCCCGTGGCGAGTCGGGTGATAAGAAAGCTTTGCAACTCTTTAAACTCAGTTTCTCATGCCGTTGTGGTATTTGATTGTATCAAAGAACCTGATACGTTTCTTTGTAATATTATATTGAAGGGTTTTTTGAACTTTGATGACCCATTTAGTGCTTTGAGTTTTTACTATGAAAAAATGGTGGGTAAATTTGTTGAGCATAATGAGTATACTTTTCCATTGTTAGGGAAAATTTGTGCTGAGATTAGGTCTTTGAAAGTAGGGGAAAAGGTTCATGCCCGGGTTTTGAAACTTGGCTTCGAGTCTAATTTGTTTGTTAAGAACTCATTGATTCGCTTGTATTCGGTTTGTGGGCAGATTGGGAGTGCCCGTGAGGTGTTTGATGATGGGTTTGTGTTGGATTTAGTGAGTTGGAATTCGATGATAGATGGCTATGTGAAGAATGGGCAGGTTGGTGTTGCGCGTGGGCTGTTTGATGAGATGCCTCACAGGGATACTTTTAGTTGGAATTCAATCATTGCAGGATACGTGGGTGTTGGGAAAATGGAGTTGGCGAGAGAGTTGTTTGAAAAGATGCCATTTAGAGATGTTGTTTCTTGGAATTGTATGATTGATGGGTATGCTAGGATTGAAAATGTTTCAGAGGCTCGTAAGCTTTTCGATCGGATGCCTGCAAGGAATGTTGTTTCTTGGAACACCATGTTGGCTTTATATGTTCGATCTAAGAAGTATGTCACCCAGGCTTTAATCTTGTTTGATAGGATGATGGAAAGAGGGGAGGTTCGGCCTAACAGTGCTTCTCTTGTTAGTATCTTGACAGCATGTGCAAAGTTGGGGAGGCTTGATAAGGGCTTGTGGGTTCATTCTTTTATTGAAAATAACAAGATTAAATGTGATACGTTACTTTCGACTGCTCTCTTAACAATGTATGCAAAATGTGGTGCTATGGATTTGGCTAGAGATGTTTTTAATAACATGCCTGACAAAAATGTGGTGTCATGGAATTCCATGATCATGGGATATGGTGTGCATGGCCTTGTCGAGAAAGCCTTGGATATGTTCATCAATATGGAAAAGAGTGGTCAAACGCCAAATGCTGCTACTTTTGTCAGTTGTTTATCTGCATGCAAGCATGCAGGAAAGGTTTTAGAGGGTTGGTGGTGCTTTGATATAATGTGCCGAGTTTATGAAATTGAACCCAAGGTGGAGCACTTTGGTTGCATGTTTCATCTACTTAATCAGGTTGGTTTGATGGAACATTCAGACGGGCTTAAGAGTGAGATGTCTGCGGAAGGAGGATCAACCCTGTGGAGAGCTCTGCTTTCTACATGTAGGACCCCCTCAAATTTAGAGCTTGGAGAGGTTGTAGCCACGTGGCTAATTGACTTGGAACCAATGGATGTTGGACCCTATTTATTATTATCTTACATATATTCTCTGAAAGGGAAATGGGGTGAAGTAGAAAGCATTAGAAAGCTTATCAAGGATAGGGGATTGTCAGAAAGAAGTGAGTCACCACATCGGAGAACCATGGTATACTCTATGTTGATGGAGTTGGGTGTTCAGCTGAAACTGTCTTGTGGAAATTCTATTGGGGTTTGAGATTTTAGGAATGATGGACTAATTGGAAAACTGCACAAAGGGAATTTTATAGCCGATCAAGAATAAAAATTCCAAGAAAACGTCTCTGGAAAATGCCACAGTTAAGGCAGTGGCTACTATTCTATAAACATCAGAACTGGATAGGCTTAGAATATCCAACTGCAATTTATTAGGATAAGGCAATGACAACATAAAGCAAGCTGAAGAGGTGTGTTGAGCCACTTCTTCTTGTTTCAATATTTATTTTGAATTTTTTTTTATAGGTCATAGATCACTGAGATATAAATCTCTATGAAGTTGATTCAGCAGGTTCAGCTTATGTTATGCTATTTTAGAATCTAGTTGAAGAGCTTTCCTTCTTTCTCCACCCTCTTCAAGTGGAGATAATCACCAAATCATGTCATCTTACTTTGCTATTTTTTGCATTCATAAAATAATTCATTTTCATTACCTTAACCTTAAACCTTCAAGTTTTTTCCTTTTTTTGCCCTTGCGCTTATGATGAATACTGAAGTTCATACTTTTAGGTTATTGTTTATGGTTTGTTCAGATTTTACTAAGGCTTTTCAGCCAAGGATGTTTGGCAATCTATTCTGAGCTGATATTTGTGGTGCTTCTGATTATCATCATTATAAGGCACTGTATTATTGTTGATATTAATTAGATTTATCCATACCTTATCTATTGGAAACTAGTAGAATTAAGAAGCATTATGATGATGAATACAAGGTCATCTTTGTTATTTGGTCTTTGAGAACTGCTGAAGGATTTGCTGCCTGAACAAACAGGGTATGTTGAATTCTCATGAAAATTATGAAATTTGTCTTGTTTAGTTAAGTAATGGAATACTATGTGTGTGGATAAAACCAGGAAACTGGCTAAAAATGGAAATGGACTGAAAAGAGTAAAACTTGAAAAATATGTTTAGAAGAAAAAAGTCAAGGTCTTTTCCTTGACTATATGGATAGTGCTGTTTTCTACGATGACTGCTTTGAGAAATTTAAATCTTTATTAAGAAACATAAAATTTCATTCAATATTAGAAAGATTACATAAGATTTTCTCTTACTAAAGTTTGTCATCCCTTCCTTGACACAAAATAATAAAATATATACTAATCCATAAAACATAATGAAAGAAGACATTTGAAGAAAGCTAGGAACTTATTCTTTTAGTTTTATTGCTAAAACAAAGAAATGAATGACTCTGATGTATATCTCTAGACATTAATTTGAACTCCTGTGTCATATGTCTCTCCACCTTTCCAATTTTCTGGTATGTTATTAACAGGAACAATCCATGACTCATCTCCATCCTCTCCGCTCAATAACATCCTTAAAGACAATGCACCACTTGGGGGTGAAGTGGTTGTCCATACTGCTCCATAACTCCTATCCAAGAGCTTGCATACAAAGCTTTGAGTCTGCACATATTAGAAGTATCCGTTAGTAAGTATTGTACTGGCTCTTGTAGATTTGGCCACCAAATTTATTCTCCTTTTACAACTCTGCAGTTAATCCATACCGGTTGAGACTAAATAGAATGTTAGGTTCGGAAAAAGCATAATACCTCACATAGCTGTACAGCTGTGATATCCTTGTCACCTTGTTGATACCATAGAACAAATGCCAAATAATGGGGGTAGTTGCTGTTCTCATCAATCTTGATAGTAATATTTTTGTTGGGGTAGCTGCATGGAACACTGTATAAACAGAGGAATAGGGTAAGAGATCCATGATCTTGTCTTATCATTATGTGGTATACTCCTTGTTTCTTGTGACTACGGGGGATAAAAGCAAACAACAGCAAAAATAATAAAAGAGAACTTTTGTTACATTCTTTTTTATGATTTTTTTTTTTGAGAGAAAAGGGGGGTTTTTTGAAAATTTCATGTAAGAAGAGTGTTGAAGACTGAAAAAAAAAAAAAAAAGATTAAGATCTCCCTTTTCCCTCTACTTATAGAACAACATTCATTATCGTTTTTCCTGAAGTTGCTTCTATCTCATCCGTGATCCTCAATATCGAGAAATCTTACCGCCTATATTCAATGTCGACCACTCCAAGGGCTAATAGAGATGCAGCTGCATCTGTTGTCTGAGCCATCCTACCGAAGGCTTGTTTGCTCAGGATAAAGTCAGTGTTGTGACCTGAACCTTGATCAGTTATAACCACAGTCACACCTTTGTCCGAGCAATAGTTGCTGTTGGTGCACCTCACCTTGCAAAGTAAGAATTGGTTCAATGTATATTGAAAGTTCCATTTGCATTATTCAAGAGCATGTTTAGTATTATTTAAGCATTATACATAAAAATTTCATGACATGTGCCAGGGCATATCTTTCTTTAATACCTGGTAGCAAGCACCACAGCCAACGCCATTTCGGTAGAGGTCAGATGCTGCTGATACATCTCCACCGTTTATTGTTGCTCCAAAAGAACCAAAACCGCATGCACCTACTGGAATTCAGTTAAGAAAATTAGTGAGCATTTATGTTTGTGTTATGCACAATACATGGTATCTGCAGTCCCTGTCTCTCTTACCATCTGTTCCCTTTTCATCAGAGTTTGGATAGTATGCTGCTCTCGAATGGGTGAAACAGTTGCTACACGTTGCCGCCTCTGCCAGAGTTTGTATCAGAAGCAAAGTTGTGAAAAGGATCAAAAGGGATTGAAGAGAGAAAGCCATTGAGGATTCAATGAGCAAAGATTACAATGAAAGCAAAGAAGATAAGGTGGTAGTGCATGGAATAACAGGGTCTGTAGCTCGTATTTATAGTGAAACAAGCAGCCAAAATATCTTAGTTTGGTAAACCTTGCCAACTTTGACATTCCATAAATAATATTGAGTGGAATTCTGTTAGGATTGTATTTCCGAGCTATCTTTTTAGACTTAAGAAGTATTTGATATGAAATTATGTGGAAACATCCCTCTTGACTTTTGAATTCTAAAGCACTTTTCCTTCCTTTATTGAAATCTCTGACGAGTTTTTAGACAACAGTCATGCAGCTAGACTTTATTGTAGTGTGAAATGTTGTGTATAAGAATAATGTGGTAAATTTGTTTGATTCTCAAAACGTTTTCTAATTCTTAGATTCAAGCTATTCGACCATGACAGGTTATTGATCCTCACCTAACAAGAGAAGAGGGTGGGGGGTTGCAAGTAGGTTGAAAGTTGAAATGATGACCAATTAAGTACTTTGAATGAGAATATGTGAAATGGTTTTGTTTCGAGCCACAAGTTTAATCAGATGGAGGAGAGTTTGGTGCTTTTGCACTAAAGAACCCTAGCTTGGTGAGTCATTTTTCTTGGTGTTCCCATTAGCTATGGGCTGCGATTTTCTTGGGGGGGGGAAGGTGTAAGTGAAACGCCCATCTCTACTTTTGTCCAACATCGTGTTGCTTCAACTATGTTTCTATGTTATTTTAGCGTCAATTCAAATAGCTATACACTACAGTAGTGTGTTTTTTAAGCATATGATATAATATTTTTCTATCATATAAACAATTCTATCTTTACTTTCTTTTGATTAGCCTTTCTTGTGGATTTTAGATTAGACTTTCTTGTGGATATTGATGATAACTCATTTCTCAAGTTGATTTCAAAAGATTACTTTGGCTTGTCAATCCCAAATAGACGTTTCACCTCAGTATCATCAACTATCAGATAAGGTGTGCTAACCCCAGCAATCCATTGGGAGCCTGCTGAAATTGATAGCAGCTGACTGAGTACCCAAGCTGGCTGGAAATTTTGTTCGGAGGGGTCGAAGAAATGACGCTTACACAGCACGCCGACGTAGACCGACGTGAAAGAAATCCAGTGAACCACATCAGCTGTGACATGGAAACCATTTTGGCAAAGGGACCCCCTCTGTTGGCGTCAATTTCCATTAGTGGAAATTAAATTGGAATAAATTAACCTTTGCCTTCATAAAGACAAATCATGTAGTTGCTCTCATACAAATGAAACTATAGGTCTAAGAGTTATATTCTAAGATTTTGGTGCATTACAGTTACCATAACAATTATTTTTAATATCAATCATTCTTTATTTAAATGTTTATGATGCATCACTTATTTTTTTATTCGAAGTTAAAAAGTTTTCAATCATAATTATTTAAATTAAATATTTAATATTTTATTAATAGATTAAGCGATGTTTGAAAAGGAAAGACTAACATCTTGAAAAGTAAAATCCGGTTAGTTTAAATTTAACTCAAAATAATGCTTATAAAGTTCTATTGGATGGATAAAGTATTTTGAAATTTTCTTGCAATGTTTTAATGTACACCCAACAAAGCACTCGAACCATGGAAGACAATGAGTTTTACCATGATCCAGGTATTGCTCTTGTGCTAATCTCGTTAATTTCACTCTTAACTTTTTGTCAAAAGCAGCCGGACAAAGAGAATTTCTCATCTTGGAGAGGTACGTACTTCTGTGATTCTCCCACGTTTGAGTTGAAGCTATAGTTGTAGAAAGAAAGAAAGCAACTGGAGCATGTTGAAATTTGAAAGCAACAAAGCCAAGTCCTCCACTCACTTCTAGGTATCAGATTTTCTTTTTTTTTTTTCCCATCTAAGTAACAAGAGATGTACCAAAGTTACTTTGCATTTCTCCATTTATATATTTTGAAGTTTTTGATTGTTTATGTCATTAAACAGCAACAAGTTATTTTGGGGAAGTGTGGGATGACTGTAGTTCTGTGAATTCTTTGTTACTAATTCTGTTTCAAAAGTCAAATTAAAACAGTATTTATGGAACAGAAAGAATAGTAATTATTCCTCCAAGATTTCAAAAGCATTTCCTAAATTCTATGTACAAGTAGATCTCTAACACCCTTTTCAACTTTTTGGATCACTTTGAATAGTTGAAATCCCCACAATTTGGTGCCTCTCCAACTTCAATTCTTAACTTTTTGCCACCATGTTTAGTAGTGGTTTTGGATGTAGACACAATATGATCAGATGCATTTCTGGGAAACCAAACAATGGGAAAGAATGAATGCAACAAGTTTGTAGCATATAATTGTCAACTGTCAGTTAAAGTAAAAGATGATAATTCCTTGCAAGTTGAAAGTTATGCAGGTATTCAACCAAATGTGTATTGTCCCAATCAAACACAAATTTTAAGACTTGTCAAACAATAATAGCAATAAATCTTTTTTTTTTAGTTCATGCAATCATTTTTAAAAAAATTATATAAAATTTAAAATTTAAATCTTAACACTTTTAGATTGTAGGTATAAAAAATTTAATTAAAAAATATTTGAATAGTAAAAAAAAAAAATCCTGGAGGAGAAGGCTCATCAATCAAACTTGTTTCTTTCCTTTTCTTTTCTGTATATCATATATTTAAGACAAGCCCATCCAATCCACCAAAGGGCTTTTTTTAAAACCAAAATGAGTTCAACTCTGCAGGCCTGGTCTCAATGTTGGCTAAAGCTCCGACTAATAGATGTTTCTAGCTACATGTTGGACAGCTGAAAGTAGGTGGCTAAACTTTTCCAAGGCCATCACTGCTCTAAACAAAGCATGAAATATGTTAAATCTAAATTCCATCCAATTTTTTAAGCTTAATTTCTTTTATCAATGCAAGCCAAAGCCTTGCCAAAATTATGAAACTATGAAATGGTTAATTGTTGAAATTTTGTTCAATAACTCTACTGTAGATTACATTACATTACATGGACTCAAATTTACCTTTAACCCTTTTTTTTTTTAACAATTTTATGGCCTCTTTTGTTCCAATAACATGGGCTATTTTTTCGAAAAGAAAAAGAAAGTGCAAGAGGACGTTGCCAACTTTGATTTTACCACACTTTTTTCTATATAATCGTCTATGAACTTTGCTAAGATTTAATTGAAAAATACACAACAAGCCGAAACGTGATCAAGGAGGAGAGAGAAAATATAGTCATGGGGTGGTGTGTTGCGTAGCACTAGCAGCCAAGTGCCAAGCTGGTTGGCATGGACGACCCCAAGTTTCCAGGAAAGTTGAAAAGTAAATGTGTTGGTGGCCATTAAAAATGTGAAACTTCCTAAAAAGTGTGGAAGAACCTGATGCCTTTTGTAAATAACAAAAGCACCCCCACTTGTTTTGCCCTTTTTCAAGCACCTAGAAATGAAATTGGAATATTCTTTTTATTATTCTATATTTTTGTTTAACACCTATAACATTTGATATGAAGTATAATTTAATTCATAAATGGAAAGTGAATTGTGAGATATTATCATAACAAAATTAAAATTTTGATAAATTGTTGAGATTGGGTTATCTAGATTATAACAATAAATTTATCTCCAAGTTTTAAATGATATATCCAATTACACCATAATTTTTTAAAATTCTACTATAAAATTAATAAATTGATACATATTCTTTAAAATATAAGAAAAATAAAAAAATAATTGTAAAAGTGAGATGTATTATAATTTATTAATCTCACTTATGAAATTAAAAATATTTACTATTAATATATAAAAAAATTCTTATTATAATTAATATCTTTTAATTGGACATTAATCTTATATATTATTATTATTATTATAGAAAATTAAGATGAATAAATATATAAGTTGTCCAATTAAAATTTCAGGGTCTTATAAAAAATGTCAAAGAACCTTGGCGGACCCAACTGAAATTATTGAATAATAAATGGGTTATTGGCAAATTGGTAAGACTTTCATGCATATTTAATTGAAGTGCAAAAAAACTAACAAAAGAAATTGTGAGTGCCAATTTTCTGCCGGTCTTGGATTCTTTGGTACATTCCTTCTCTCAAAAATTTATTCTTTATATTCGTCGCCACCTTCTTTTCGATCTCCAACTCAATACTCAATCACTTCGAAACCAGATTTTGCCTAACAAAATTCATTGACAATGACGACTGGTGAAAATTCTGTGCAGAGGTATGCAAATTCAAATGCGATTTCCTTTCGTTTTTTTTTTTGTGCTTTGATTTTATATATGGTCGAAGATTTGTATTGGATTTGAGATGAGTTGTTCTCAATTTTTCCTTTTTCTAAAGTTTTGTACACAAACAACCATTGAGTAATTGAACCTGTAAGCAATCTGGATTCTTTTTTCTTTATGCCGATATTCTTATGGGGCTCATGCATGGCTAAAAGCTGGAAGTACATTGATTTTCTTTCATATATTTCGTGCTGGATGATCTTTCTCTTTATTTTATAATTTTTTTTGTGAGAATTCTTTATATTCTACAACTGATCATTTAAAAGTCTATTTATGTATGTTCATTGCTTCTCTGTTTAAGCATTTATTTTCCCCTGAGGCCAAAATCTCTTTTTCTATGAGGGGATTTGGTTGTTCTTGTGAGTTCATGTTTATTTTCCTTCCTATGCTTTTGATTGTTTAGGTAAATCCATACTTCCTTTTCTGATTTAGTTCATTTCTTCAACTACTTCAAGTCATGGGTCTTCTATAGCTGGTTTTTTGCTGTCAGACTTGTGATTTAAGCCTTCCTTGTTACTTGATCTAAGAAGCTACCATAAATCATTTTATATTCCCTGGTTATGTTTTTGTGAGGAAGAACATCATCAGTAATTTGAACACCTTTATCTTTTTGGAATGCAGCAAGAAATCTATTCCTGATCTTGCTCCTGTGGAAGCAGTATTGTTTGATGTTGATGGAACTTTATGTGATTCAGATCCTCTCCACCATTATGCCTTTCGCGAAATGCTCCAAGAGGTAATTGTTTCTTCCCTCTTTCTATCTCTCAAATAAAGAATCGGTTCTTACTCCGGAGTTTTCTGTTTAACTAAATCATCATCCTATACAATTTCAGTTTCTGTCAAGCTCAAGCATTTTCTTTTGTTTAATTCACAGTCGATTACCTGAATGTGTTTAACAGATTGGTTTCAATAATGGAGTTCCAATCGATGAAGAATTCTTTGTCAAAAATATTGCAGGGAAGCACAATCATGATATTGCTATGCTTCTCTTCCCTGATGATATACCAAAGGGCACAAAGTTCGTGGAAGATAAGGAAGCAATGTTTCGGAGGTAAAATGGTTTTCACCCCTTTTGCAAACTATTCAAGTTTCCAATTTGCCATATATATATACAAGGTTTTCACTCCTTTGTATGGATGAACAGGTTGGCCTCAGAAAACTTACCACCTGTAAAGGGCCTGTACAAATTAACGAAATGGATTGAAGATCGTGGGTTGAAGCGAGCAGCTGTTACAAATGCTCCAAAACCGAATGCTGAGCTCATGATCTCAAAACTTGGTCTCAAAGATTTTTTTGATGTTGTGATTTTAGGAAGTGATTGCGAGCATGCCAAACCATACCCAGACCCATACTTGAAGGCACTTGAAGCACTGAATGTGTCAAAGGATCACACATTTGTGTGTGAGGTGTGCCTTTCTTTCCAAACCATGTTTTTGGCATAATGAACTGATGAATAAGAACATGATTCTGAAAACTAGCTCTGTTTTTTGATTGTCCAGGACTCTGTATCAGGGATAAGAGCAGGAGTTGCAGCTGGAATGCCTGTTGTGGGGTTAACTACCAGAAATCCTGAAAATCTGCTTATGGAAGCAGATCCTACTATTCTCATAAAGGATTATGAGGATCCAAAGTTATGGGCGGCCTTAGAGGAGCTTGATAAGAGAGGAGGTTCTTTTAAAACAGCAGCTTGAATTCCATAGAAATTTAGAACTTTATTCGAATAAACTGTGCAGGCACTCTCATGCCCTCACATGTACCACGTAATATTCGAAGAGCATTGGCTGTATATATCTATACTCATTTTAATCACCAGTCAATGATGAGGTTAATTACTTTCGTTGCATGACTTCATTCTTCATTCCTGGAGTGTAGTGACATGATGGTTCTTCTCATTTCAATTTCTGACGCCATATTTTCAGAAAGAGATTATGGGAAGAAAATAGGAACAGAAACATTCCAGATTCACTAAAGGGATGCCATACACATGGATAGAGAAGCTATTTACGTCACACTTCTACAAAAGGATTACATTAACGACTCTGATTCAAGAAAACAATAAGCAAGCATAGACCAATATTCAGGAAATTTTTAGGTTTGGCGGGTTGAAAACAGGAGCTGCACAGAAAATGCAACAAATGAAAGTGAACAATCAACAACTTAAACCTTTTTTCAGCACCTCCCTTGTGCTTTAGTTTGTGATAAGGACGATTTTTTATCAAGCACTCGGGTAGTTTCATCTGGCCCATGAGACTGAATCAATCTCATCCCTTGCAGATTTGTATAACTCAAGCCTCTTGGCGCATTGCTGCCTCCTTTCCATCAATGCAGCATCCTCATCCAACAACTGTGCAAGCTGTTTGCCCTACAAGAAAATATGAAAATAGTCAGCAAAGAAGTATCTGTTTCTCTCTATCCAACCAGCATGCCTCCCCCTCCGTGGGCAATGCAACAGTTTGAAGGGAATTCCTTTCACATTCGAATTTCCTAGTGCACAGAAACATGAATGTGTCCAAATGCATGTACATACACGAGAATGAAGAAGAAATTATAATGCGGTGGGTACCTCCTTTTTGCCCACTTGTATATAGAAGTGATCAAGTAACGATTGCTTGGCCTCCCTCACTTGGCAATAAACCACCGCCTTAGGGATGGTATTTCTAAGTGTATCAGACACCATCCCCACATAAGAAGAAACATTTGATCCTATTCTGCGAAAGTGGCCCTCTGCGTATCTATCTGCAGATAAAGAAGTTGGATTTCCACCTTTCTCCACTTCTTGAGGGAGTTTCCGAAAGAAATCCACTGTCAAATATGAGGACTCCATGTCAACCAATCTCAAAGTTGTCTTCTTACTCTCTTCACGAAACCTCTCCAATGCTTCATTCGCAGCTGCTGCTATTTCAGCTTGGAGAGTAGGAAAGCGCTTCAACTCCTGTTCAATTCCAAAAGACCAGCTTAAGTTCTTTTTTTGTCCCTAAAGTATCATTAGGTCTTCCAGGAAGCTAGTAAGGTTTCAAAATTCCTAACCTGAGTTTCTGCAATTGACCTTCTTACAAGCTCTTTTAAAAGAAAGTGAACCTGCAATAAAGATCACCATTCACTAAAGACAAATTTCGTGTCTAGTGCTTTTAATGCGTGAAAATGCAAGAAATATTTATTTTTATTTTAAAGCCAGCAAACAGCATTCGGTGAACCCTTAGTAAAGAAAACACCTATAATACCCTCTTCATTTCACCCACCTCCAAGAAGCAGTCAGAGGCCCTATACCAACTAATAACAGAGAACTGGCCAGATGACTAGAAAATGCCACCTTGCAAAGGGAACTTACAGCATCAACAGAAGCTTCAGCTGGGCCTCTGAAGTAATTAAGTGCACCATCAATGAGGCGTCGATAACCTTGCTCAGGAGCTATTAAATGAGGTTGGTACCCATCTGCCTCTGAAACTACCTTCCTTATGTTTTGCAGTGACAAATGACGGTCAAATGGAAGCTTCCTTAAAGCAGCAGGCAGCTGGTGGTCAAAAACTCCATAAATGCGGTCTCCACCTGGCCGCCTAGAAAAAGATTGGAAACATGATAATAAAGTGTTATGATTGTATAAGATTATATCTTTAATTTGTGCTGTGTTTTCTTCAGAAATGGAAGTGAGAAGAAAAGGAGCTAAAATATACCCTCCCTCCAAATGCTCCTTGAATATCCGATCAAATGCTCGACATAACTCTAGGATCGTGTATAACTGGGCCTGATACATGAAAGCAAAAGAATCTAAAATGATAAATGAAACTGATGGATATCCCAATATCACGGAGTAAGACAGCAATTTAGTGGCTCCTCACCCCAGCATCAACGGCAACAGGTCTACCAAGATGGGACAACTCTGCTTCAAGTTCATCAATGCTTCTGTTAATTAAAGAAGTAATGCCAGGAAGGCGGGCTCTAATTACAGACTCCAAATGCTGACACCAAGGAAACATTCTAATAAGTAGACAGACATGCTATAAAGAAATACTTATGCAAATAACTAGGAAACAAAACCTTTGAGAGAAGTTTTGCAAGATATTCTGAGCCCATTTTGCTGGCTAAATGTCCATAATCAGGACTAGTGGCAAAATATTCACGCTCCTTCCGCCTAGCAGCAATCATGTCGATGTTTTTGTTAATATCAGCTTGTGAACGGTTCACGATTCCAACCCAAGGGTGCTGAAGCGGATAAGCTCTTCCCTCAAGAACCTTTAATTAAAAATAAAAACAAACATGTACACTGGGTAAGGAGAAATAAATCAGATGTATCAATGCCCGTCAATGTTTAACAAAAAACATAATTGGTTAGGCTTTATACGCCGCAGCACATGCCCAGTCAAGTCACAAACCTATTATTAATGCATATTAAAATAGGAAGAAAGCTTACATCTACAGCATTTGTTCCCTTGTCCATCAAGTCAAGCTTGGTTAATACACCAAATGTCCTTTCACCTGGGAAAGAAACACCAAATATTTAACCTCTGGTGCAATTAACAATGACTATGATAATATATTATTACAAGCCAGTCAAACTGCACTATAACCAGATATGATAAGCAGAGAGATACCCGTTGGATCAACTTCTCTAGACAGCTTCATAGCATCAGATGTTGCTATATCCTGATTAGCTGGAGTTATGGCCAGAATGATGCAGTTTGGCTGCGATTGAATATAAAAAAAAATTAGTCATTTGAATCCCCAAAGATCTAATTGTTTTTCTCTCTGCCCCCTCCCCTCTTTTAAAGCTTGTTTCTATTCTTAGATGGTAAACTGATTATTCCTTGAACAAACTACAAAGGGAAATCATAAAATAAATCTTTACCCACAAACTCAGGATATGGAAAAGCAGATACTGGATGGTGGAGTAATCATAAAGATAAACTTTTTCCCAAATCATTAACCTAGCAATTGGGTTCTAGGGGTCTGATGGGAACAATCTTTAGTCATATTACATAAATCCAGGAAGCATGCCACTAACTTCCCTCTTGCAGCCATCCAACACAAATTATTGTGAAAAAGGAAAAAAGTTTCAATTACCTTTTCAACATAGGAGCGAACCATGCTTTCTATGTCTTGAACAATACTATCTGGCTGTCCCTCTACCAATAACAAAGACTTTTATTTACAATCTAAAAAATGAAAAGAAAGGGGAATGACTTTAGGAGGCAAGTGGGAAGCATACCTACAGCAACCTTTGTCAAACCAGGCAAATCTATTAGAGTTAAGTTGACAACTGCCAAAACATAAACCAGAATTGTCAGATGATAGAAGGCAAGATTACACGAAATGTAAGGACACCAAAGAATGAACCTAGGCAGGCAAGTTTTCAAAGTCTAAAAGCTGTTACCATTTGGTGAGTAGATACTGAGGTGAATGGGTACAGGAGAAATCTGTTTTGACTTCCCAGTCATCCTATCAGTTTCGTCTTGGATTTCCCTCCGAACCATGGCTGCATCACGAAACAGGAAAATCACACATATCAATTCCAACTGGATAAATGCATCATTATAAACACTTATGAACAAGCTGTGAAAGCAAGGAAATGAAGTCAGAAATCATTACAAGACAGTTTCTTACAATGACAACAGATAATCATGAACAAATTAATAGGTTGCCAGATAAATTGCATGAACAGAAAACTAGCACCAAATCCGAATATGTGAAATAGTTGATCATGTTTGTAGAATTTCATACAAAGGTGAACAAATCTGAAAGTTTCGAAACTAAATCAACAATAAATAGGTTCATATAACAAATTACATACAAAAGTCTGTGAATTTTTTCTTGGGCAAGTGAAGAAACTCTCCATATTCTTGTACCCATTGTTCTGTTTTGTGTAGCTGCAACACTAGAGGTCTCCTCGTCACAATCCCTGAAATTTCAAATACAGACATAAAGGAATAGACAGCATTTAAGCTTCTCTGCTTACTAACAAACGAAAACATTTGCATAATATTTTATTTATCCATCTTTCCAATGAAACCGAATTAAGCATGCCACACAAATTTGACTTTTGTTGACGAGGAGTTGAAGGATCAATTAGAAAATTCTTAAATCAGTATTGACTTTAGATTGACCTTTTTTACTTGAATTTCCAGTCTAGTAAATCAACAACAAAAGAAAACATAAAGACGCTTCTCCTTCCTTTCTTTTTTATTTTTAAACTTTTCTTTTCGATTTTCTCGCCCGCCAGACAGATTTCAAAGCGGAAAATTCAACAAACAAGCATAGAATTTTTTTTTTTTTTTAAAAGAAAGAATCATAACCTGATCCCCTGGGAAGGAAGTCGCGTCCTACAATGCTCTCCAACACCGATGACTTTCCCGAACTCTACATTCAGATCAAAATATAAATTAACAGAGAGAGAAGCAGCAAAGTCACAACACGTTATTCGTACACACACTCAGAGAAAAAGAAAACCTGGCCTCCGACGACGACGACAGAGGGAAGAGCTTCCCAAAGAGTAGGCAAAGCGGTGTCGCCACCGTGATCACCGAGTACCGTACAAGCTCTCTGTATCCTATTAACCGTCACAATCAAGCTCTCCATTGTCGCCATTCCACCACCTTTCTCTCCTTTTTCCTCTAATTTTTTAGAAACCCTAACAGATGAAGAATCGAGGCCGGATTTCAAGTTCAGACGGATAGAAATTGCAATAACGGATGAAACGAAAGAGATTGAGAGGAAACAGTACAGGAAGAGGAAGAAGTAGGGAAGTAGAAAAGCTATCTTCGCTATTTTTTTTTTTTTGGAGTGGGCCTTAGAGTTGATAATGATGAGATAATGGGAGATGGTATATAAATGCGCCACGTAAGCAGATATTTCTTGTTACCGTTTCAGGAGTTTGTTGGTTTCTGCTTTTTGCAGGCGGCATTGCGACCGTTACTAAAAAACTGAAGCTGGGCATGGAAAGCTAGTGATTTGAATAATTTTGAATTTTAGGCGGAGTTCCTATCCCACACACACGTGTTGGCCAACTTACTCTTTAATTTTAATCCCCTAGAAACCTTAATGGCAATTACTATGTAATTTCTTATGCAAATCGATTAAGATTTTGAATAAGTGATAAAATTGATTTTGGTGAAATTAAAAATAATATTAAAAATTATTGTATCTTTGATTAAAAAAATTACTATACTTGTCATTGAAAATAAAAATTTATAAAAAAATTTATATTAAATAAATTTCATTAAAATTAATATTTAAATTCAATTAATGATGTGAGCTCAATTATAATGTACTAAAATGCAATGAAATTCAAATCTCTACTAAAATTATGAAAAAAAATTTTAAAATAAAAATAAAATAAAATTATCCACAGTCTAAATAAACAATTTTTCATTGTCCATTTAAATGAACATTTTCATCAATCATTCTAGTAAATTCAATGGCACATTGCAATCTTTAGACCTTATCTATAATAGCCAAAGAAACCTCATTGGAATTTGCCTTCTTCTTCAACTTGTATTTAGAGCCGTCCAAGTAGTGCTGATAGATGTAAGAAAGGAAACCCCAGATGGCCAACAACATAGCCATCACCTTAACTCCATCCATCTTATCATGAAAGAATATCACAGCGAGAATGGGGACGACAGGCAGACCCAATGTACTAATGACATTGGAGAACAGAGAAGATACTTCAAAAATCAATCCCAGCAAACCTATTGATGAAACCTGCCATGTCACTGCCGTCCAAATCAAAGTCATCAGATATGATATTTTTCCTTCCTGGTCTTCCTTCATTTCCTTTGACAAACTTTTCCATTCCCCGCTTGCAAATAACCCAACCACGCACCCACAGGTTGCAACAAATGAAGGGTATATTTGCATATCCAAGACAGCAGAAAAAGTCTCTCTTTTGATAACTTTTTCAACAGACAATTGCACCAGGGAAAGGTACAAAGAGTAAGTCGCGGATGCCCCAACAGTGCATAGGAATCCGATTGCATACTTTCCTTTGGAGACTGTTGAGGTGTTCTCGGAGTCTGCATTGACTGCTAGCAGAGCAGCTGAGATGGTTAGGAGGATGATGGAGTTGATTATAAGAGGAGTGAACTTTTGGGAGTTGAGGAAGAAGGAAAAGACAGCATTGAAGGCCAATTGAGTTGCGCAAAGTAGAGAATATGTAGAGACTGGAAGGTATAGAAGGCCATAAGAGTACATCATGTTATCACCTGTCAAGAGTAAGCCAAAGGCAACATAGAGAAAAACAAGGTTCGAAGTCTTTGGTTGGCTTGTGATCCAGGAACTGATGGGGGTGTCAGTGGTGATTGATTTGGTGGATGGTGAGAAGAAAAACAAGAGGGGGAGTAAAATTGGGAAGCCAGCTGATTGAACAAATGTTGCCATCCATTTGCTATTCCCACCTTTGTCATAGTATAATCTTCCCAAGAGAGTAGCTGTTGATTGGCCAGCAAGAAGAAACAGGATGTAAATAATTACACGAATCCACCGCCTGTAACTTTTGAATCTTGAAAGTTGAGGCTGATTTGTAAAAGGAGCGTCTCCATGTGAGTTTTGCTCCCTCTCATCAACAGCTGAAGAAAAAAAAATCGGCTCTGGTCAAGAACAAAGCTACAACAGCAACTACAGAAAATTTGCAGTCAAAAGTCAGAGCCAAAAAAAGAAAAAAAAATTCTGGTTAAGAACTGTTAGTAAAACAAAGATAGAAGTTGAACAACAAATTTAGGATAAAATCAATGTTGAATAAAAACCTTGTTCTCTATAACCCAAAAAGACTTGAGATTCGAATCCAAATATGTGTAATCTCTTTTTTATCCTAGACTATGACCTTCTTTATAAAAAATAACAAAGAAAAGTTGGGCACTATCATTAGAAAATCAGTATGGAATAAAAAAGACCTGTTATCAATGTTGTTAGAGTCTAAACTCGCTTCAAGAAAATAGATAAGCACAGGTATGCGAGTAACTAACCTCTTCTTTGCAGTTCAGCCATTTGAGCCTCTTCCATGAAGATACAGATGATTGTAAGCCAATGGTTAAACAAAAGATAATATGTTTCTTTCCCTTTTGTGGAAAGGAGGAGGAGCAGAAAGAACTAAAAGAGATCTTGAATAAGTCAACTCATATAAGCTGATCAGTCATGTTCACAGCACTCTGGAATAACGACCTTTGTTTCTAAAAGTCAAGCTAAATACATATATATTTCGGTTCGTTGCGGAATTGAGTGGCAAGTTGTTTGAACTTGGCTGGTTGAGGATATGCTTACTTGACCTACTTGAAAATCATAAGGCTAAGAGTTACGTCTTTGTGTTGCATACCTCAAATACATGTTAAATTCAGTCAAAATCTTTATTTTGGTCTAAATTGTCTGCCTATTGCCTTTCCCCTGCATTGCAAGAGATTAACCTTCAAATTTGGATCATTCGACATCGTTTTTGTTTTATATTTTTTGTTTTGGATTTTCGGTTTTTTTTTTTAACACAACAACAGAAAATATGTTTTTTTTTTTAAATAAAGCAAAATTTCAAAATTATTAGAATAAAATTTTTCTTCTTTTTAAAAATATTTTTTTGCTTTTGACTCTCTCAATGAGCGAGTGAATAGTATATAAGTATTCAAATAATATTATATATTTACAATAAAAAATATAAGTGAAATTAACTAATTTATATATACAATATTTATTAAATTTAATACAAAACAATAATGAATTAAAAATTAAATACTTCAAAATTAACATTTAGTTTATTTCAATATAAAGTGTTAGAGAAAAATATAAAATATTGAAGATAAATTATATCTAATATATTAAAATATAATATTATTTACTCTACTAGATATAATTTATAGATTATCATTTAATATAGTCACTCTGAATGTTTCGAAGTAGCAGAAAGATCCATATGGTTGGGTAAACCATCCATTTGCCAAGACGTCAAATGCAAAAGAAAAGGTTCCCTAGAATCCCCGCGAAACCATGCTCACGTACTAAAACATTTTAAATATCACGCTCGAAAGAAATTTTGTGTGATTCTGTGATTTATATTGGCACGGTTATCATTTGCTCGCGTTCATATTACATAATTGTATGAATAAATAAATAGATAAATAATACCTTGCTCAAGTTCGCGCGAACAAAATTGAAAGCATTTTTCTTTTTCTCTCGTTTTTTGTTTTTTACAACACGCCACTCAATTTTGCAATGAATCGAAATATACACATATATATGTATATATGTATGTATGTAGCTTGACTTTTAGAAACAAATAGGTCGTTATTCCAGATTGCTGTGAACATGACTGATCAGCCTATATGAGTTGGCTTATTCAAGATCTGTTTTGATTCTTTCTGCTCCTACTTGTCCTTTCCCCAAAAGGGAAAGAAATATATTATCTCTTGCTTAACTATTGGCTTATCATCATCTGTATCTTCATGGAAGAGACTCAAATGGCTGAACTGCAAAGAAGAGGTCAGTTACTCGCATACCTTTGCGTATCTGTTTTCTTGAAACAAGTTGAGACTCCAATAACATTGACAACAGGGTTTTTTATTCCATACTGATTTTCTAATGCCCAACTTCTGTTTGTTTCTAAAAGTCAAGCTAAATACATATTTCGATTCATTGCAAAATTGAGTGGCGAGTTGTTTAACTTCTCTGTTTCGACGCATATTTCGATTCTTTGTTTCTAAAAGTCAAGCTAAATACATATTTTCAAACCATCTCTGTTTCTCTGCCCCGGCCGTTCTTTCAACTTCTATTCAACACAGCTCAAAAAACCTGAGATGCTAACAGTCTATGGAGACAAATTTTTTGTGGAGACCAAAGAATATCAATGGGACTCTAGTTTTTAGATGTCAGATTTGACCGAAACTTCACCGAGTCATTAATACAATTTTAACTGAAACTAAAACTGATTTGTATGCAAGCAAAAGCTTAATCTTATTTCAACGAGCTCCACGGAAACATTGTCACCATCATGAATTTTTCGATGCTTCCTCTGAGAGTTCAAATGGAGACCTCCATAAAAATAAATAAGAGAGAGAACTGCTCTTTTTTAAAAATTGAAGTTAAAAAATTTAATTTGGCGGTTTCATATGTAGGATGAAAAGATAAACATCTCTTAACACATTAGTTAAAATTCATCAACTCATTATAAATTTAAATGTAAAATTAATTCGAGATCACAATTAAAATTATTCTACATAATTGGGTACGTCACAATATAATATCACTATAATTATTCATAATTTGATGTTAATTAACTTAAATCCATGTTAATTAGCTGTGTTAGTTTACAATATGAGATAAATGCAACATTTAATTCCAAAGCCAACCAATACTGGAAACTTCTGGTAATGTAATCCCCTTTTCAGTTCTAATAAATACGTCAATGTTATCTATTTTGGGAAAGAAATGCCAAGAGAGAGTTTGGGAAGCAACCATTTTTTTTTTAATAAAGTAGGTTGCTGAATAGAAAACATAATTGTAAATGATAGGATTTAAATTTTAGACATATTATACATCACGTTTTAAAATTTGTTATATGAATCAATTAAATTAATGATTAATTTAATATTATTATTACAGTTGAAAAAAATATAGATTAGAAAAAGTATTTTTAATAAAATATGAATAAAAATTTTAAATATTTAGTATTACTTTAAAAAAGTATTATAAGTAATTGAAGTATTTAAAAATATATATACAATAATAAAATAAAAAATATATAAAAATAATATAGTGTTTTTTTTTTATCTCCAAACGTATTTTTTAAAGCAAAACTCCTATTGAATTTTTTTATTTGGATTTAAAAACTAAACTTTTAAATTAAAAAGTTAAATTTTTTTTATTTAACACTGAAAGTTAAATAAAAAAAATTTTTACCTACAAAAATTATTTTTAACAATAATGCTAAACTAAAGAAACTGGATATAAAGCCCGTGAGGTCTATTTTTATAAATCAAACTATAAAGTAGTAATTAGTTAAGAAATTAATTATTTAAAAGCAATAAAAAATTTTTGCGCGCACCGTATTAGTATTACATTCTCTCAAATCTTGCGCTCTTTCAGCAAAACAAAAATGAAAAAGATAATTCTATTCCTGCGCCCCGCGGACCAACTTGAAAAACATATTTCCTCTTTGCTCGTGCTAACCGTTGACTCTATGCAACTAAGCGCCATCTCTCACTAAATCCGTCCCTGAAGACTGAAGCTGATTTTCACAGTTTTTGCTGCCTACAATTCTATTTTAGTACCTTAGTTCTCAGATCTACAATTACAAAGCATGGAAGCTTCCGATGATGCAAATTCTGAAAGGATGGAAGGCTCGGGTGAACCTTCTAAGGGAAATAGAAAAAGAGGTCGACCTCCTCAACCTTCAGAAGGCGATCGAAATTCAAGGAAGAGAGTCACTGATAAACAATCTCGGCAAGAGAACAGGGTTTGTTGCTTTGCATCCTTTTTTTTTTTTTTAATTTCGTGATTTATCTATGCTTATAATTATTTTTTTTTTGGCTTGCCGTGATATTGAAATTAAGAAAAAATATATATCTTGAATGAAGAAAAATAAATTAAATATACAAAAATGAAATGCTTTCTGTACTCTATTGCAACTGATAAAATTTTGCTCTATGTTTTATAATAACAAAGGAAGTAATCGTGGGACTTACGAAGATAGCACCGGTTCTCAAACAACTAGTGGAAGCGGTATCCAACAACAATCTAAGCGAGGTAATGATCTCAATTTGTGAGAGATCTATTTACGATTTACACACACAGACGTAGTACTTTGTTTTAGGTTTTTCATGTTAACATTGGATCTGCATGAATGCTAAGACTTTAACTATTAGTTGGATGTAAGCTAAAATAACTTATCAAACCGAATCATTTTAGTTTTGAAAATAAACAAAAATCAAAATAGTTAAATTACCTAATTTAGTAAATATATATATTTAATGAATTTATATTTGATATATTGTCAGTGTATATACTCTATACACTATTAATAAATTAGATAATATTATCTTATTAATTAATAAATATCAATTCTTAAATAAATATACAAAAATTAATATTTTTAAAAAAATTTACTTATTAATGATGTGATATTATCTGATTTATTTTATTAATAAGATAATATCATTTAATTTACTAATAGTGTATAAAATTTATATACTGATAATACAAATATAAATCCATATTTAATATGGTGTCAATGAATCTTGATATTTCATAAAAAAAAATTAATTTTACATATATTTTTAGAATTAAGAATATTTATTTTTAAGATTTTAAAATTAATTTTTAATGAAGTGTTATTTTATAATTTACTAACTATGAATAGTATTTGTACACTAATAATACATTAAATATAAATTTTATATATTTATTTATTTATTTATTAAAGCATGTATGATTATTATCTATATTAAAATCACATTTCTTTTCAAAAACTGAGTCTTTGCTTTCTTTTTTCTATAAACAAAGGATGCCATCGAGAGATTTAAGGAAGTAGCACCGGCGCTTTCGCAACTAGAGGAATCGCTTAGGCAAAGCAATCCAGGGGAGTTGATGATTCAGATCAGACAGAGTGCTCAAGAGACAAAGGTGCAAGCAATTTGCGAGAGGACCAATTCAATTACTTTGTTTAAGGTTGTTTTGTAAGGAAAAAAAATATGATTCAAAACTAACAACTAATAAATTTTTGCTCTCTGATTTATAAAATGAAGGACGCGGTGACAGAATTAAGGGAAGTAGTGCCACTTCTTCAACTGTTGCAAAATGATGGGCAGAATCTTACACAAAACTTAAAGGTGCGTGCTAATTATGACAAGACTTATTCATAGGCACACGCACTTACTTTGGTTTAGATTTTGATGTAATTGGATTTTATGGGATTATTTTGTCACGATACATCATAATTAATCAACTGATTCAATTAACAAATTTTAATTTTAATTTTAACATTTGTAGTTTTTTTTTTATTTTTAATTTTTCTTATAAAGAAAAAATATTTTAACTCAATATTTTATTTTCTTTTTATGAACAAAGGCCGTGATCGATGGATCAGTGGCGTCGGCTATGGCCCACGTAGTGCCCCAAATAGTGTCGTTGGTTAACGGATGCCAAACAATGGTCGTGATACCAAATAATCAGCATATTACGGAGGCAGCTGAAGCGACAGCATTTGCTAAACAGGTACTAGCAATAATATGACAAATTCAAAAACTGAGATATATTCTCGTAAACTCAAGTTTTTTAAAATGATCACAAAATCTTGACATCTCACTTGCCTGTATTTCTAGTTGAGTCTAATACTTATGGGTTGAATTACTATTGTTATTTTAAAATTTAGGTGGGAATATACCCTATTAAAGATTATGATAGTGATTTTTTTTAATATTATGGGAGCTCATGCATATTTTATAAATCATGATTTGATAGTTTGTTATGTGTTTGATAAATGTTCTTGTTAATGGATTGAAGGTAATGGCGCCGGTTATGCCCGAACACGATACAACGGTCACGATGCCAAATGATCAGAATATTATACAGACAGATCAAGGAATGCCATTGGTTGAACAGGTGCCAGCAATAATATGACAAAATCACACACTGAGATATACTGTCATTAACTCAAGTTTTTTAAAGTGATCACAAAATCTTGACATCTCACATGCATGTATTTCTAGTTGAGTCTAATACTTAGGGGTTGAATTGCCATTGTTATTTTAAAATTTGGGTGGGAATATACCCTATTAAAGATTATGATAGTGGTTTTTTTTACTATTATAGGAGCTCATGCATATTTCATAAATCATGATTTGGTAATTTGTTATGTGTTTGATAAATGTTCTTGTTAATAAAAATAGTTTTTTAGATACTTTCTAAGTATTTGAAGAAATTTTTTTTAAAAAAAAATATTGTAAGAATTTTCTAAATGTTTGATGAAATGAAAATATGATCTTTTATCATGTTTTTCAAGTGTTTGTGAAATTATCTTTTTCATGTAATTGCATGATAGCCTAATTGCATTCATCATTTGCATATAATTTAATTTCATGATTAACAATTAATTATTATAAGCATTTGCATAAGAAAAAGTAAGAATTATGTTAATTGAACTTGCTTTAAAAATTTATCTAAATATTAAAGATTTATAAAGAGATTTTAATTATTATTGATGCTTTTTTTTTTCTAACTCTAAAACTTAAATCAAAACATAAACCTAACTGAAATCTTGAAAGTTAACCTTATATCTATTTTCATGCATTTGCATTTCTTGATAAATTGTTACGTTCATTAATATTTATAAATTATTATTGCATTCTTACATTTATATTTATTATTCATATTTTAATTGTCATACATATATTACATACTTGGCTTAAAACTTATATAAAAAACAAATTCTGATAAATTTTAGTAAAAATAAAAAGTTAGTACTGTTTATCTCAATCATTAATTTTTTTTAATTTCTCTTAAATTGCAGCAAAATAACGAAAGTGACTTGCTTTTAACTGATGAGGTATGGAATCCTACTTTGAGTATACAATATTTGTTGATTTTTTCTTTTTTATTTTGTATTTTAATTTTTATCATCACTTGCATTTTCAGTATCAAAATGAAAGTATTGTAGGCATGGTAGCCAACTTACGATCAAGTTCAAGTCCAACAGCGCATTTCATGGAAAACTTGGCAACTAGTGAGCCTATTACTGAAATTTCTAACAATTCTGATCAGAATGGTGAAAGTTTTGATGATGAGCAAGTGAATGATTTTTTTGAGCAATGTGATGGCAATGGCAATGTCAAGAGACAAGTACAGTATTCAGACTTCAACGGATTAGAAGAGGAATTGGGCAAACTTGGGCACAATCATTTTCCTTCTTCTCTTGCTCCTATAGCTAAGAAAATCAAGGAGGCGCATGGTAATATTACTGAAACTAGCAATCAGAGCGACTGTGCAGCTTACCCTACTATTATTATGTTCTACGCCTCAATAAAAGAGATGAATGAGCTGAAAGATCTCGAGGATGTTTCTGAGTCTAAATTGGGAAAGTGGAGAGATGTAATCCTTGATGCCCAGCAAATCAAACTCAATGTGCAATTTGCCATGGTACACTTGAAGAAAATTGCTCTTGCTTATTTTGGTTCAAAAGCTTCTGATTCAAAGCTTTCTGATAAAGAGAAGAGATTAAAGGCTGAATTGGATGCAGTGAGAAAGAAAGTTCAACTGCGTCAACAATGTCTAGATCAAGCAGCATATTTCAGTGACAAACCTCTTAACACTGATCTCTTCTAAGTCTCATAATCATTGTTGTGTTTATTTATGTATTTAAATTGAGTGTAGTCAAAGGAAAGGAGGGAAGAGACGATTTCAACTACTATTGGTAATGACTTATGTATTCAAGTTTTTGGTTTTAAATCTCATGAACTTCCCCAAAATATTCACTTTCTCTTTTGTCAACAACATTTTCATTTTCCTTTTTTTGTTGTCAAATATATTAAAAATACCAAATTCATTTTTCACTGCAATTAAACATTGAAAATTTACACCAAGGATTTCCTCGCACTTTCACTTTCTTCAATTCTCATATAATTTCTCGTCTAATTTTTTAATTACAAATTCAAGAATGACATGAATAACTAGGTTTTCATAAATTCAAATATATCCAAACCTCATTATTTTCATCTATGAAATTTTTAAAAATCTCAATATTATCCCCATCAAAAGCATCTTTTTTACTCTTAATCTTGAACTCTTAACCTTTTAAGTTTATGGATTAGAGTAGCCTCAATTAAGCTATTTAAATTTTAGTCTAAAATTCATTTAGACCTATTACTATTTAACATATCATTAAAATATTAAACAATGTTTTATATTAATATTTAAAATTTTAAAATAAAAATTAAATAAAATATAATTTTTTAGTTGATAAATCAGAAATTGTATAATTGCCGTTGGAGGTCGTGGAAATTCTTGAAGGCAAGCCAATCAATTCGCACGAAAATTAGTCTTATAATGAACACGATGAAGGTTACGTGAACAATGTTTACTAATTATGTTCCTATAAAGATCAAAATTATTCAAGGAGGATTGTTAATTTCTTGCATTGCCATAATTGAATCAGAGTCAAGAATAAAATAGCGACAACAAACGCAACACTTTGTTTTTTATTTTTTTAAATTATAATTAAGAATTGAATTTAAAATTTTTAATTTTAAAATTGATTGAAATGTCTCTTAAATATTATTTTCCTTTTAAGTTTGTTATGCAACCATATTTGCTCAGTTTTATTATTAGTTTGTGTTCATATTTTGGTTAAAGCTAATATAATGGATCAAAATTTTATTTTATTTTTTAAAATTGAAAATATGAACTAAGTAAATCATCTAATATATTTATTTATTTATTTATCAAACAAATGTTTTCAACTATTTTTATTATATTAAAAACATTAAATGGTATATAATTATAATTACAATTTTTTTTTGTTATTAAACATTAATCTCGTAATTCTTATAAATGATAAAAAAAAAAGTGATGATATTTCTTTTTGTTTGAATTAATTTTTTTTTTCACTTATAAAAAAAAAACCATAATACTACTCCACCGCAAAAACAAGTGCCAGTACGCAACGGCCGAACAAAGCGAGCGCAGGGTTTAGCGAGGATTTACTCCCTTACAGCAGGGGAGAAAGCGGTTTTATTTTAGGGCTCTTCAATTCTTTCAAGTAAGAACTTAAAATCTTATTCTCTTATGATTTTCATTTGTCACTTCAATTGAGTTTTCAAACTTTCCATTAACGTGTTTTTCACTTTTGCACTTTCTTCAATTCCCTTTGTGATTTCTCGTCGATTGTTGTTCAATTACAATGAAGAATGATCGTGAATTATTAGCTGAGTTTCATAATCCCCAAATGCATCAAGAAATCACTATTTTTACCCATCAAATTCTCAGAAATTCCAGTTTTATCCCCATCAAAAGCACCTTTTTAACTCCAATTTAATTGCTGTACCCATAAAGCAAATGGGTTTGCTTTGTTTCGCTTATTTTCATTTACTCCGGTGCACCGGCTGTGTACCTGATCCCAATGAGCCTGCAAACCTAATGAAAGAAGATGGTGTATCAGTTTGTTCACAGTTGTGGATTGAGAATTTTAGAGAACCTGATAGGATAGTCACCAATTAGACCTCTTATCTTCGTAGATTCGAATTATGGGTATTGGCTCATCAGAAAGTTTGTGCCTATGAAATAGGATCATATATGCCCCCGTAGTTCGATCACTAGGTCTACTTTGGAAGATTTGTTAGCCTTAAGAAATGCTGTTCTTGATAATAGGTTTAAGTGGGGTGCCAGGTTAGAATTCTTTATAAAATCACCTGAAGACAAGACAGATTATGAATCTTTGTCAAAGAGGAAGATTAAGGCTATTTTAACCACTACTCAGCCTGGCCCATTTCAAGATAAGTTAGTGCAAGAGGTTTTGTTTATGATTTTGGAGCCTATATATGAGGCTCGGTTCTCACAGAAGTTATTTTCCTTTAGGCCAGGGAGGAATGCGCATACAGTGTTGAGGGTGATTAGGAAAAGTTTTGCTGGTTATTTATGGTATATAAATGGTGATTTAAGTGCAATTTTGGTTGGACTGAAGGTGGGGTTGGTGATAATTGCTTTGATAAGGGATGTGAGGGATAAGAAGGTTATTGATTTAATCAAGTTGGCATTAGTTGCGCCTGTGATAACTAGTCCGGTTGATGGGGAGGAAAAGAAGAAAAAGAAAAAAGAGGAAGTATTAGAAGAAGAAGTTGTTGGCAGAGGATGAGCCAAAGCCTGATCCTTATTGGTTGGAGAATTTTTTTGGATTTGCTCCAGAGGAGGCAGAGAAATTTCCTTAATGGGGAAATTGTGGGATTATTAGTCCCCTTTTAGCTAATATATGTCTTGATGAATTGGACTGGTGGATGGAAGATAAGATTAAGGAGTTCTATCGTCCATCAAAGAGTGATGTCATATGGAATAGTCCCTAAGGGGAAGCAGAACAGGCGAACACATCTTGGCCAGAATTTGTGCCAACAATTGGGCCAGATAAGACCCGGAAGATGGACTATTTACACTGTGGAGGTCACATTTTGATTGGTATCTGTGGACCAAGGGCAGATGCAGCAATGCTGAGAAAACAGTTAATTGAGTTTTGTGATCAGAAATATACGATGAAGCATGATAATGAGAGCCTTCCAATTGAACACATAACCAAAGGTATAATGTTTCTTGACCATGTACTATGTCAAAGAGTGGTGTATCCAACTCTTCAGTACCCATCTACTGGTGGTAAGAATATTACTGAGAAAGGTGTTGGCACCCTTTGTCGGTCATGGCTAGTTTGAAACAATGAATCAAGCAATTTAGGAAGTTAAACTTTCTTAACGGTGATAGGGAACCAGACCCCAACCATGTTTTAGAATGTTTCATCTACTCAAGCTCACACCAATGCCCAGATGAACAAGTTCTTGTCAACAATGGTTGAGTGGTATAGATATGCAGACAATCGGAGAAAAGTTGTTAATTTTTATTCTTATGTTATTAGGGGTTCACTGGCAAAGCTCTATGCTGCAAAGTACAAACTTCATTCACAAGCAAAGGTTTATAAAATTGGTGCAAGAAATCTGAGCCGTCCTCTTAAGGAGAGGAAAGGACACTCACCGGAGTACCAGAATCTGCTGAGAATGGGACTTGTTGAGTCAATTGATGGCCTTCAGTATACCAGGATGTCTCTCATTCCCGAGACTGATTATACACCCTTCCCTAGCAATTGGAGGCCAGATCATGGGAAAGCACTAGTTGAATATATAAGGCTTGATGATCCAAAAACTCTGGAAGAGCAAAGAAGTTGCATTGGAGAGCAGGGTCTTGTTTCAGCACTGGACTACATATTAATGCCAGCGTGGAACTACAAAAGAAATGCAATTGTGATGGATCAGCTTTCCCTGGTAAAAAGTGCTGGAGGTAACACAAAAGGAGATCATCAATTGTCGTTGAGTTCAAATCGTGAGAACTATGATCCCAATAGCAAGGAAGAGGAAGAATCCGAAGAAGGGCTTCATGCTTCACAAATTTAAGACAGATTTTGTAACCAGTGCTTAAAAATTTTGAGCTCCTTTGTTAGTGGAATTTGTATTGGTTAAAGGAAGCAGATAAAAACAGATTTGCTGCTTCAATAAAGATTTAAAAGATTTCCAATTACCTTGTATAATAGTGATATATTTATCAAATTTGAAATTTCAGAAGAATTTTCAATTCAGTGGCTTCAATTCTTGGTCATTTGACAAGTTTATTTTCCATCTCTGCATAGTATTTCCAGTTTCATTGATTTTTTCTTTAAATCTTTTTGAGAGTTTCTCAGAAAATGAAGTTGGAGGTTTCAAACGGATTAGACTTCTTGCTTTTGCATTTTGTTCGTTTCCAGTTAGTCTTGTCATAATAATGGCCACATGTTCGTTGCCAAAAGCAATATAAATCAGCCAAGCAACAGGAAAATTGGAATTGTAAGTTAAAGACGACGTAGCAGTCAAGATTTTTCTATCAAAACAATAAGCGAAAAGAGTTTAGATTTAAGAGGATAAACATCTGAAGCAAGTAAGTTCATGATGCATAAAACAACATCACATAAGTAGAAAAGACTGTAATTCTGTTTTGTCAATGGAGACACTTCTTCCATATCTTGAAACCCTTTCTCACATGTAGTCATTCCTCCTATCAATGCAGTCAGCCAGGTATCAACATTTCCATACTGCCCTGTCAAAAATGCTCAATTAGTATCCACCAGTGTCACAACCCATTATATATTCATGTATTCAAATAGTATTATATATTCATAATAAAAAATATAAATGAAGTTAACTAAGTTATATATATAATATTTATTAAATATAATAATAATAATAATAATAATAATAAGAAGAAGAAGAAGAAGAAGAAGAAACTAAAAATAAAATACTTCAAAATAACATTTAATTTATTTCAATATAAAGTGTTAGAGAAATATATAAAACATTGAATATAAATTATATCTAATATATTAAATAATATTATATTTCATTTATAGATTATCGTTTAATATAATCACTATAAATGTTTCAAAATAGCAAAAAATCCATATGGTTCGGTAAACCACCCAACCTGCCAAGAAAAAGTACCAATTCCCCTAGAGTCCCCAGAAAACAACGCGCGCTCGAGGACTAAAAGTTTTTCCATAAAACAACGCACGCTCGTGTACTAAATTTTTTGCGCGATCGTGTATTGGTCCTGTCCTCATATTCTTGCGTTCGTATCACATAACTGCGCAAGTAAATAAATAAATAAATAATACTTCACTCACGTTCGCGCGAACAAAATTGAAGCTTTTTTCTTTCTCTCTCTCTCTCTCTCTCTCTTTTTCTTTTTTTTTTTGTTGTCTTTAGTTGACCCGTTGCAAAGAGCTTGCTTAAAAAGACGAAATTCGCCTTGGTTTCTCTGCAAGATGAATTAGCTCCAAATTTCAGTTCACGTCGGTGATTTCGCTCTTATTTTCCACCATTGATTCTTTGACTAAGTATGGTTTATTCTTATAATGAAATCGTTTTAAATTTTGATTTTCCATAAATTCACTTACCTGCTTTATTCATCGTTTCTGCGCAATACTGCTTTGATGTTCTTGTTTCACTTAATTTTTTGTTTAGTTTCCTGCAGTTTTACTAACATTTCTAGAAAAATATTCTTGTTAAATCAGGGTTCAGTTTGTTTTGATTGTAGTAGCTTTGACTTGGCCTGTCAACAGTATCTGTATTGTTTATAATCTATTCCGTTTACAAGATTTTTTCTGCGGATTACCCAAAGGTGACAAAGATCTCTTCATTGAATTGGGCCAGTTCTGTCTGAATATTTTTCTTTTCAATTTGTATTAAATCTTTTGATTTTCGCACCGTTTGCAGCGGTAGATCTACATATAAAGATATGGAGTGTACATCAATAGCTGATGGAGTGGGTCGAACCGGACAACAATGGAAATTTTCGGTTGATGAAACACAAGGTGAGTTTCCATTAAGAGATTCAGCTTCTAGAAAATTAGCCTGGGATCGGCCATCCCCAATTGAGAAGATTGAGAAAAGGCTGTCAGATCTGGTTGATAAAACAAAATCTAATTATCTTGGTGACCTGCCATCAACAGATTTGACTTCTGAAACTACAAAATTAGCCTCGGACCTTTTAGTGCAAATTCACGGCAAGAAGATTCAGAAAAAAACGGACAGGATGCATGGGATGAAAAAGTTAGAGGAACGCATGGCAAAATTGGAAAACGAGAGGAGGAGATTGAGAAAAAAAATTAAAAAATTGGAAGCCGAGTTTAGGAGAATGAGGGAAGAAAACGCAAAAAGGGAAACGCTGCTTGAAGCATTATCGAGAGATAAAGGGATATCTGCCTCAAAAGTTAAATCGGTACTCTGTCTCTTCTTCCCTATCTTCAAAATTTTTTTTTTAAAAGAAGTTATATTGGTTAATTGGTTGCTAGGGTAATTATTAACCAGGTCTTCCCTGCAGCTAGTTTCATATTTTTGGTCTTATTTACATTTTTATTTGCTTTAACCTATGTTATTCTTTTGAACCCTCTCTTTTTTGCCGGTTGAAATGCCTTTTAGTTTTAGTCCTTATTAAAAATGGCTTGAAGGCTTCTGGGTTCATGATTTTACTTGAAGAAAGCTGATTCTCTTTCCTTCTTGCGCTATCCATACAGGAGACAAATAGATCCTTGCATTCTCTTCGATTTGTTGTCATAACTGGGTTCATGTTATGATAATCCCTTTGTGTAACATCAAGCACAGCTAAGATTCAAGGGTCATTACTTTTATTCTTTCTGGGAAAAAGATGAACCAAAATTAAATTATGTTTCTACTGCGTTCTTAAGTAAGATATGATATATCAGCGCAGATACTAGTTTTCTAACTGGGAAGTAGATATCTAATTATGGATCATCAAAGGCCAAGTGATTTCAATGTTCTTTCTTATCTTCCAATCATGCATTTATTTGTTCCTCTTAAATTGCAGGGTGTTGAGCTTGTGGAAAGTTTTCTTGAGCAACTTGATGCCAATGTCAAGAGTCAAGTAGACTATTCGGACTTTAAAATCTTAGAAAAGGATTTACGAAAGGATTTGAGAATGGTTGGGAGATTCAATGTTCCATTATCCCTGGCTCCTATTTCAGAGAGAATCTATGACACTTATGGTGATATTACTTCAGAAAGCTCACAGAGCGACTGTGCAGCTATGCCTAGCTATTTTCTGTTCTGTGCTGCAATCCAAGAGATGGATGATCTGAAACTTGAGCAAGTCAACAAGACTAAGATGTTGTTGTGGAGAGATGCAATTAATAGTGCCCTGAATGTCCAATTCAAAGTGGACTTTGCCAAAAAACAGTTGAAGAAAATTGCTCGTGCATATTTTGGTTTAAAAGCAATGGAGGAAATAAACAATGAAAAGCTTAAGAACATAGATGGAACAGTGAAGAAAATAGAGTTGCCTGAAAATTGTTTATGCGGAGCTATTTATTTTGGGGGCAATGAAGAGCTCAAGAATATAGATAGAACAGTGAGGAAAATAGAGGTGCCTGAGTATCGTTTACCTGAAGCTAAATATATCTGGGGCAGCGAGGGGATCGACATTGAAGAGTTCAAGAACATAGATGGAACAGTGAGTAAAATAGAGATGCCTGAGGATTGTTTACCTGAAGCTCAATATTTCTGGGGCAAGGAGGAGATCGACATTGAAGAGTTCAAGAACATAGATGGAACAGTGAGTAAAATAGAGGTGCCAGAGGATTGTTTACGTGAAGCTAAATATTTTTGGGGCAAGGAGGAGATAAACAACGAAGAGCTCAAGAACATAGATGGAACAGTGAGGAAAAAAAAGGTGCTTGAGGATTGTTTATGTGAAGCTAAATATTTTTGGGGCAAGCCTCTTAGCACTGGTCTGTTCTATTAGTATATTTCTAGCATAAGCCATCGCACCTTGTCTTTCTCACTTTACGTTTTCTGGCTGTGTTTTGTTTTTTTTTGCTTAGTCACTGTAAGCAATTATGTTATTAAATTTATTCCTCAAATAGTTTTATTACCATAAATTGCATGTAGTAATATTTCTTCCTTTTGAAACTTATTTCTCTTTCTCCGCCCCTCTTTAACTTCAGCTCAAAAAACCTGAGATGCCAACAGTCTATGGAGACAAATTTTCTGTGGAGACTGAAGGATATCAATGGGACTATAGTTTGCAGATGTTATAGTATTTCCAGTTTCATTGATTTTTTCTTTTAATCTTTTAAGAGTTTCTCAGAAAATGTAGTTGGAGGTTTCAACGGGTTAGACTTTCTTGCTTTTGCATTTTGTTCGTTTCCAATATCCATTTTCAGGAAGTGAGGGAAAATACTTGGCTTTAGGGAGGTTCTCATACGTCATGGGACAAGGAGAATGACTGGAAAAATTATTGGTATGCAGCTTTGTCTGCTGGTGTGCATGGTATTGAATTTTGTGAATTTTTCTGTATTATGGCCCAATGTTGACCTTCATAATAATAATGGCAGCACGTAAGCATGCATAAAAAATTTGCCAAAAGTAAAAAAAAAATGTGCATTTAGCAACATAAATCAGCCAGAAACAGGAAAATTGAAATTGTGAGTTCAAGTAGGCATAGCAGTTAAGATTTTTCTATCAAAACAGCAAGGGAATAGAGTTAAGATTCAAGAAGATAAACATCTGAAGCAAGTAAGTTCATGATGCATAAAGCAACATCACATAACTGGAAAAGACTGTAATTCTGTTTTGTCAATGGAGACACTTCTTCCATATCTTGAAACCCTTCCTCACATGTTGTCGTTCCTTCCATCACTGCACTCATCCAGGCACCGGCATTTCCATACTGCCCTGTCAAAAATGCTCCAATAGTATCCACCAGTGTCTCAACCCCATCAGAGTAAAGCAGAGAGCAATCCTCAAGCATGCCGAAGAAGGACCCAAACTTTCGTTGTTCAGTAACTCTTTTATGATTGAAAGTGTGTTGGTCGCATTTTGTAAAACTAGCTCCTTTGCAACAATTGCTAGACCTTGAAGGTTTGTCATGCGGCTGACAGGAATTTCCTGGAGAGATGCCAAGCAGAAGCTGTAGTTAAAGATACTGGACTTGTCTGAGCATGCTTTACAGGTTTTGTTGATTACATCAACAGACAACATGCTTGTTGCAGATATTTCATCTTTAATATTGAACAGAAAGAAGAAGAAAAATAAGAAGAAGAAGAAGCAGCGAATGATGAGAAAGAGACATGCTGCTTTTTTTCTTCTTGGTATTGTAATTTGTTATCGATCTTACTGCAACATGCAACAAAATCTTTATATAATATAATCATGTAAGCTTTTATAATGATACGAGTTTTCTCATACCAAGGAAGCTTCCTAGACCGAAAGAATTTGATTCTAAAATTTTTGAATAAGTTAATTTTTAGGTGGAAGCAAAAAAAAAAAGTCAAAATTAGGTCAAATTCGAGTCATTTCGAGAGAATTGAACTAAATTTTAGATTCTTAAAGATTTTAAAATAAATTTTGAGTTTTAAGCAAAAATAAACATTTTAACCAAAATACACATGATCTAAAATTGGGTAAAAGTTGGCTAGTTTTACTTAGATTTGATCAAGTTTTGTCAAAGCCTAATGTTTAAAAAGAAAATACTTGGAAAAACTAAAAATTGAACTAAAATGACCAAAATGCTCCTTAATCAAACTTGATCAAACCCGGATTAACCTTTGAAATTCATGATTGAAGAGCACCATTAAGGCTTAATATTAATAAAATTATGATTTGGATCCCTTAAAAGTCATGTTGGATCTCAAAAGAGATATGAAAATAGAAAAATATCTTTAAAAGTATTTTTATAATTTAGCCTTTGGTGGTCAATTTTTTTGGAAAAAGTTCCCAATCATGACTAGAGATTATTTCATGAATTTTGGTTCAATAAAATCATAAAAATCATCATTAAATCACAAAATTAAAAAGAAAAAAGCATGAAAAAAAAAAGACATTTTATCAAGGGCTAGTTTGGCAAATTTGCATGTTATTAAGGGACATTTATGTAAGTTTCTAGAAGATGTATTGTAATTTCTTGGAGCCATAGGATTTGAAGGTACAATAATCCAAAGACCCTCATTGCAAGTTTTAGGCATCAAGTTTGAAGAAAAAGATAAATGAATTACTAGTCTTTGATGCATTTTGATCTAATGATTAAGATGGGTGCTTTGGCTCTTTAAATTGACATGTATGGGGCTATAGAAAGGGTCTATTTTTTAGTAACCAAAACTCCACCATTAAAAAGTTTTTCAAAAAAAAAAAAAAGAACTCTCTTGTGGAAGAAAACTTTTCTTTGGTAGTTTTCTTACTTTTTATGTATTTTTCATCTTAATCCATGTGGTTGTTTTCATTCCTTCGATGATTTGTTGGTTGTCATTATGTGTTTTAAGAGTTTTTAGTGATACAATCATATGATTATATATTTCTTTGCTTTGCGATTTATTTGCTATATGGTTTGTGATTTAAAAAAAAATGTTTTCTTCAACTATTTATTTTAGAAGTGTGTTATGTGTTTCAAAATATTCTTGTTTGTAAAAATGGTTTTTTTACATATACTTTCTTAGTTTTTATGAAAATTTTCAAAAAAAAAAAAAGTTGTATTGTAAGAATTTTTTAAATGTTTGTTGAAATAAAAATGTGATCTTTTATCATATTTTTCGAGTGTTTGTGAAATTGTCTGTGTCATGTAATTGCATGTTAGCCTAATTGTATTCATCATTTGCATATAGTTAAATTTTATTATTAGCATTTAATTATCATAAGTATTCGTATAAAAATTTTATGATCACCTCTCCGTTAAAATATTTATTTTATATATCAAAGTATTCGTATACTTAATTATCAGTTGAAAAAGCTAATACTGTTTTTCTCGATCATTAATTTTTTTTTTATTTCTCTTAAATTATAGTAAAATAAGGAAAATGACATCACAACGATCCCTTTTGACTTGTCTTTAATTGATGGGGTATGGAATCCTACTTTGAGTGTTTGATTTTTTTTTTATTTTGGATGTTGATTTTTATCATCACTTGCAGCTTCAGTATGAAAATGGAAGTAATGTGAACATGGTATCCAACTTACCATCATGTTTAAGTCTAATCACGTGTTACATGGAAGAATGGTAAATAGTAAGGCTATTACTTAAATTTCTTGCAATTCTGATAAAAATGATGAAAGGTTTGATGATGAAAAAATGAACGATTTTTTTAAGCAATATGATGGCGATGGCGATGGCGATGGCGGAGAGATGCAATCCTTGATGCCCAACAAATCAAACTCAATTTGTAATGTGTAATTTGATATGGTAAATTGCATATGCTTATTTTGGTTTAAGAGCTCATCATCAAAAGGATCAAAAGAAGAGATTATAAGTTGAATTGAATGTAGTGACAAAAAACTTTCAATTGCGTGAATGGTGTCAAGCTGACACAATATATTTTAGTAACAAGCCTCTTAACACTGATCTCTTCTAAATTCTATAGTTGGTTTTTACGTATGTAAATTAAAAGGATAGGAAATTTTGGAAGCATCAATAGAAGGTAATTAAGGATAAGACCATTCCATGCGATGCCTTAATCTTTTGTTTAGCTTCTATTTCTTTTATCATTATTGTGTTATATTTTATCCCTACTAATAAAGTTGATTTATCTTGTTAATTAATGTTAAATTATGAGTAATTTTATCTATACTGATTTTAATGATACTTGAACTAAATAATATGATTTTAATCAAGTGTAATGTTATTTAAGTGATATTACAATCCAAATTTTTAATTTTAAAATTGATTGCAATATCACTTAACTATTATTTTTTTTTAAATTTGTTATGCAATCATATTTGCTTAGCTTTATTATTAATATGTGTTCATATTTTGGTTAAAGCTAATATAATGGATCAAAAAATTATTTTAGTTTTTAAAATTGAAAATATGAACTAAGTAAATTGTTGGGAGCATTTGGTAGTAAAAAAAGAATAGTGGCTTTTTTCCTCATTACGTGTCTTCAACAGATAGCCAGGGGCAATTCGGATATTTATGTCGACCTGACATGTCAAGTCAGCTTGACACACTCAATACCACATCAGCTCAACCACGTTATTATTGTCCCTTATTGGCCCTTACCTTTCATCTATAAATACAAACATCCAGGCATCACTAAGGCAAGTTCTATCTATTCATAATCTTTTACGTTATTTTCTATTTGACCTCACTTATTCTAATTTATGCGTTGGAGTGCAAACGCAAGTAACATTCTCTGTCTTTGCATTAAACCGCTCTCTTTCAGTCTTTTATTCTTTTAAGAATACCTCTACGTCAAAGCTCGGTATAAACATTTGGTGCACCAGGTAAGGGCTTTTTCTATTCATTAGCTGAGCACAAAATAATGTCACATAGGAAGAGAACTTTGGAAGAAGGAGAAATGATTGCTCCTATCGAAACGAAAACACACAATAGCCAGCATTTGGATCGACCTACCCCACAATAAACTAGTCTAACCATAGAGCAGTTTTAGGCTTTGACCGTGCAGATACAAGCCTTCAAATAAATGTTGTAGACCATAACCTCACCACAAGCTTCAAAAGTGTTAGATTTAGTTACCCACGATCGATAAGCTATGGAAAGATAGCCAAGTTACGAAAAAATGAAGGCTTTCTTAGACTCAAAAGAAGAAAAGCATAACACCCTAGCTTGCCATTACTTCAATCATTACACAACACACCATGACCTAAAAATTCAAACAAACAAATATCGAGCCCCAACTAATAAAAAACTTGAAAGCTTGGATACAAGCTTTGGAAACAGAGCTGAAGGCAAAGGTAATGAATTTTAAGGACAAACTTAAATTTTTGGAAACCTTACCCTTTATTGAAGAGATTGATAAAGCCATACCTTCTAATGGGTTCAAAATAGCGACCTTAGAAACCTATGAAGATACTTTTGACCCTTTCG